TCATAAATCCTTGGCTAGGGCATTCTCAAATAGGTATAGACTGTCTCTAAATCCTTGAGGCAATACAGTCCAGCCGTACTGAATTGTATCCAAAGTGTCTGGATTTATCATTCAAAAGCAAACAGAAATTGAGATTTTTTTAGATCCAAAGGCATGTAAAGGAAAGTGTCCTTTAGATCAAGAACAGAAAACCAAGAGGTGTTTGCAGGTATCTGCCAAAATATTACAAGGATTAGGAACTATGGGACAGATCAAAGTCAAGTCTTCACTTATTTCTCTAAGTCTTGTACAAGTCTATATTCTCCTTTTGGTTTTAAAACAAGGAGAACAGCTAAGTTATAAGGGGATTCTCATGACACCAATAACCCAAACATAACAAATTTAGTGATGAAGACTTGCCATCCCACCTAGCTTCAGGCTTGCAAGGAAAGTGAGAGCAAATCTTTAAGTGTGTAACAACAGGTTAGCATTTACTGCTTTGCCAGACCTGAGGATTTGCTTTTAGTAAGATCTCTTTAGGAGCACTTGATGACTTTCTTTTGCTGGTGGACTTATCAAGGCTCCCAGAAATGGCATATGGCTGCCAATACCAAGATGTACTGTAGCCCCTAAAGTAGTCAAAATATCTCTGTCCAGTAATGGGGATGGACCTTCTGGTATCATAAGAAATCTCTGAGAGAAAATAAAATTTTTATACCTGCAGGCCAGAGGAAGAGTGTATATCTTGTTCCTTGAAGTCCCATCAATACCAGTTATTATATAACTCCTTTTAGAAAGAGGTCTAACAGGAAATCAATGTGAGTCAATGCCCTGTATAACTATCCTTATCTCAACCAGCAAAAACCCTTGTTCCTTCCTATTTTTGCTTATACTCTCTCTACAACAAAATTAGAAATAAGGGCAAAATAGTTTCTGCTGGGTATTGAGGGGGGGGAGAGGGAGGGGATGGGGGCAGGGGGGAGAAATGACCCAAGCCTTGTATGCACATATGAATAATAAAATTAAAAAAAAAAAGAATTAAAAAAAAAAAAAGAAAGAGGTCTAGAGAATTCATTTGAGACAGACTGCTAAGCCCCAGTATCCAAAAGGAAGTTTATCATAGTTCTGCCACTTTCAGTGGTACCTGAAGTCCCTCACGAGATACCAAAAGTTGACCAGTTGGGGCTCACTGGGAGAAAGGCCTCAGGCACTGTCTTGGAGGGCTGTCATTTCAAAGGCAAATGCCTCCGTCCTCTCTAGGAGGAAGGACGGCCCTTCCTCCTGAGTGTTCCCTCAAGACAGAGGGTACGTATCACTGTTTGCATGCTCCCTCCTTGGGACAGTTAGATTTTCAGAGCCCTGGCTCTCCACATTCTCCACATTCATGATATTTCCTCTTTGGATTGCTGGAATCAAACTGTGCTCTGGAGTCTCCCTGGGGTCTTCCTTGAAGGGGCTTTCCTCTCAAGGGAAATTTTCCTTTCATAACATTAACCAAAACTTGGTCCTGTTTCTCTGCAAATAATTGGGCTTGCTTTTCTGCCTATAACTGACCTCTCCTAACCTGTCTCTATTCTGCCATTATATCCTGGTTTTTGAAAACCCCAAAGGCTAAATAAACTTGAATTTGAAGACCATCTCCTTATTGTGTAATTTTTGAGAGATGTTTGGTGTTGACTGATTGATAAAACCATTACAAAAAGTACCTGTCCTCTTGGTGAATCAGAGTGGATATTGGTATGTTTCTTTATGGGCTTTGTTAACTATGTGAGAAACAAAGGAGGATTTTCCCACTTCTTCTTGTGTAACTTCTTTTAATTTTTCATGGTTAACAGTCTTGTATGTTGACTGTTTAATTCCTTCAATCAAACAAGTGATCACATAACTTTCTTAAGTTCATGTGATCACTCCCAATCTGATAATTACAATTTGGGTCAATTATTATTATGGTCTCTGACAGAAATGTCATTGATGTAAGTCTGGGCTGTTGTCCAAATTCTAACTGAGAATAAATAGAATGTGTAAGTCTTCCCAGGTTAGTTCAAAAGTAATAACTATAGTTTTAAATTCATCTATAAATCTTTCAGGGTCCTTGCTGAACATCTGAGCCTGGCTCCATATTGAGATGCATCTGTCATGGAAAAGAGAACATGTACATACATTGATCCTCCATCTATCCCTGCTACTTTTCTTAGAGGCACATTTTAGCTATCTTTGAATGATACGAGGCTCTACTGCAGATTGTTCCAGCAGGACTTAATAGTTAGGGAAAGATAGAGAAACTGAAGCTGATATGACAGAGATGGGGGAGAGGGGGAGTGATATGGGAGACATATGGGAAAGAACTGGACTCTCCACATGAACTGGCTGATGACCCCATGGAAATGGGCGTAGCCAGATGAGAGGGACTGACTACTGCTTTATTTTCCTCCCCAGTCTCTACAATAGCAGGGGAAGCCTGGGGGATAGTTCCTTTTGGGGTTCCACAAAATTCCCCTTCTAAGAGGTTTTCCATTGTGGTTTCAGGAGCATAACAGATGAGCATTTTTATTTAGTACCAGAAAAAGTTGTATGTAAGTAATTTCAGGTCATTTTCCCTGTTTTTTACAAAATAAATCTAATTTTAGTATAAATCTTGGGCTCTCATTTACAGGTCAGATCTCTCCATTGTCTAATTTGTACTGAGGCCATACTGAATTGCAATAAATTAACTTTTTTCTTAATCCCTTCTCTTTAAGATCTTTATTTTTTAGGATACATCCTAAGAGAGAATTGTCAGGAATGGTTGTTAGCATCTTGTTTCATGTCATCTTGTGCCTGGCAAAAAAAAGAGAAAAAGGGGAAAAGATGAACACAGCTTCTCTAATTCTCTGGGGCTCTTCCTTAAAGAATCCCCTGGATATCCCTCTTAACCTGGGAGTTCCCCTAACTTCTTTCTCCTATAAGAGTGATGTCCCTATTCCTTCAGAGAGGAGTTAATAACCCCAATTCAGATCACAGTTGGAGGCAAAAAGTTAACAAGACTGCATCTCAACCAATAAACCCCACACAGCAGAAGGCATAGGTAGGAGAGTGGCAGTCCTGAAAAATTACTAAAGCCAAAAGGGCTAGAGGATGGTTCAAATGGCAGAGCACCTGCCTAACAAACTCCAGGCCCTGAGTTCAAACCCCAGTCCTGGGGATCCTTCCATTTTCTCTCTACATCTGTCCTTCCATCCTCAAGAGCTCTCCCAGGTGGGCAGGAGCAGATGAAGTAGTTTGCAAGTTGCTCAGGCAATGGATATAAAGCAAGTGTAAGACAGGGGACAGCTGTGTCTCATCCAGCCTAGAGAGGGGTGTATGTTATCTGATGGGTTTAATCTGTCTTCGGAGCTCTCATATATTCTGAAAGGCATATTCTTCAAGAAAGAACAGAGAGAGAAACAAAAAGGAAAAGAGGAAAAAAAATAAGATTAGTTTAGCAGGAACAGTGCCCAGCTTCCTGCCTGAGATCTGGCTGATGGGGACACAGTGCCCTCTCCTGGCCTGTCCCAGAGAAATTAGGCAAAGGATTGGAAAGTGTGTTTTAGATCTGAAAGTCTATTTCAGATCCTTGAGTTATCAGCTTTGTCCTCCTTTTTTCTGGAAGAGTGGTCCTTGAAATATTTCCACAAAGAGTATTGCAAGGTGGTTCACAAAGTAGGAAGGGGTAATGATTTTTATTAGTTAACAAATACAGAGCAAGCAAGAATTAGTGGGAAATGCACACCAAGAAGTTTGTGCACATGTGTTAAGACACAACTTGTGGTTCTCCCCTTTGGGCTTTTTATACCAGTTGAAGTGGGCTCAGAAGAGTTTGACTTTACCTTTCTTCCAAATAAGCATGTTCTTTATGCTCAGCACCCAAATCATTCTACTGTCGTAAAATTCTGACATCATCCAAGCACAGAGACAGTGAATCTCAGATGATCTTGCTAATTAAAGGGTCTTTATGCTATGAGTGCCTGTTCCTTGTGGCTGTTGTTGGCACTCTTTTGAGTAAATGTTAAGCATATTTACGTTTTGGGTCTATCACTCATCTGGGACTAAATCACTGTAACTATGTCTATCATATATTCCACCCAACTGGGCAAATGAAAGACAGACATTGTGCATGCTACATACAATGTTTAATTTTGCATTTTTAACAACACTCCTCTAATTGTATCTTACATGTGAGAATATGCCAGGTACTTTCTTTTAGAAGATGTTAATTTGAGCCACCATCATTGAGAGAGACTTATTCTCCTTTAACAAGATCTCCTTTTATTCCAAGGATGAGGTTTACCATGTGTTTTTCTGGAGCTCTATTCTCAGGATGTACTTATCTAGGACAAATAATTACCGCAAGATTAAAAGTATGGTTAGACTTCTAGTTATCTACTAGTGTAGTGCTTATTCATAGCTTTGCTCTTAGGTCACTGTGGATTTTTTTTCCCATGCCCTAGATTTTAACTTGCTTTTCTTCTCATGCCATCCAAACCTATGCTATCCTGCCTCAGAATGTTTCCTAGAACACAGTATTGAGTATAAGTAATTATGGATTATTTAGATTTTTCAAACAAAGTATTCAATAATTTGCCTAAATAAAAATACTGAAGACATTCCTCAATATAAAATATACAACTATATGGCTCAAAAACATGTTGAAGTTAGTTTTTTTTTTTTAGCAGTTGACTTTTCCTTTATTAATTCTGGTTAAAATTTGGGAATTTCCATCAGAAAATTCTTCTACCATGGCCAATTTCCATAGTTTTTTTCTTTATTTTTTAAAACTTGAGTATGTCTTTGAGCCTCACAGTTTACTAGAGGTACAATAATATTTTTAAATATACTTAAATTTTATATTTTTAAAATAGTTTAGAGTATTATATTTTAAAAAGATAATTATTGTGCAAGAAATAATTCACTTAAAGTAAGCATTCTAATAGCAAGGTTATGGATACAGGAAATGTTTTATATAATTTTGTTCCATTAAAATATTATTTATCCTTGATTCATAATCTTATTTATTACTCACAAAATTTTACAACTAATCCTAACTAAAATCCTTCAGTCTCTTGTACTAACATGATGTAAGAAGGCACAGAAGAATCCAAAGGTGAGAGACCCAAGCTGCTGAAGTCCCCTGAAACCCTAGGAGGTGACTGTTACGGTGTGACCCCGGGTGACTTGAAGCCTCTATAGTTGTTGATGATGACTCGAAGCGCTTCCTTCATCCTTTTCATTGTAGAATATTTTGGCAGGTCTAGAATATTATGACATGTCACTGATCTTGGGTGATCTTTTTCACTTAAATCCTCAGGACAGCGAAACACTATTCCTTTGTTGTGTAGGCCTTTTATAGGCAGTCTGTCACATCCTGTAAGAAACACTAGGGAGAAATAAAATTCGGTTAAGATATTTCAGAGAAAAACTCAAAACGAAAAGGAAGAAATTAATGATTGTACTCAATATTTGTTGAGTGCCATTGAGTAGACAGAACTGCACAGAGATGGGTAAAGTCTAGAATACCATGACATTTGTTTTTTGTCCTCCAGGAATTCATGATATGCTTGCAGGGAAATTATATACATGAACAGACAGTAGCAAGATATAAGAAAATTTCATTTACTCAATAAGAAGCTGAGGCAAACCCTACTAGAGGGACTGACTCAGGGCAAGGTCAGAGATGGGGTGGTCAGGAAACCCTCATACAAAGGTCATACTGATTATAGTCTAGGAGAGGAGTCAGGCAAGCTTTCAAGAGTGAAGGAAAAACCAAAATAGAGTAGCATTGGTTCTGAGCACTTAAATTGGAGTAGGGAGGCCACTGTTAATCAGATCACACACACATATATCCAGAGCTGAACCTTGAACTGGGCTGCAGACACACCCACCCCTGAAGTTGACCTTTTGAGTTAACCTTTGCTGACCTTCTGTACAATGTACCCCTTCCTCCAAAACTATGCAGAGACTGAGACTGCTTTTTTTTATAAGACTGCTTAACTTTCACCAACACCAATCATAACTCCTGACTAACAAGAGATGTAATTTCCAAACTACCTGCAGCTTAAAGCTAGAAACAGCTACCATTTGGTAAAATCTTGGAGTACATTATTAATATTTCTCAAATCTGCATTTTCCCAGATTGAAATCCTAATTAGCCCTAAGTATATGTAATTTTCTTTGTCTTGACTAGGTTGGTCTTATTCTAGGTTGACAGAAGGCAGGTGGGAAGATGTACGTGCATTCATTGAATGTATAGTGAATCGAAACACTGGGCTGAAACAAAAGATTCCCAATAAGAGAAAATATAAGAAAGGTAGTTTGGGCTTATTGGAGAAATGGGTTGGGTTTATAAAAAAACGTCAGAACTATCCTCCAACATACTCAGTAGCAACAAAAATAGCAAGAAGACCTGAAAAACAGGATGAGAAGGTAAAAGAATTAGTTATTAAATATGTCCCAGAGAAACCGTTGGGTTTTCACTGAGAGATGCCATGAGGCACAGAGTTTAATAGTCAAGAGCTAGGCTTGGACTCAGTCTATTGGTTTCAAATTCTGGTTATCACACTTACCAACTGTCTGAACATGGGCAAGCAACTAAATGCCCCAACTGTCTTTTTATCATAGGTCTGAAATGGGAAAAAATATTATCTACCTCACATGGCTGCTATTAAGATAAAGGGAAGTAATAACATAGAGTGATCAGTAGACTGCCTTAGCACAGGTAAGCAGACAATAAATCCTGCTGCTGCTGTTATAATCACCATTGGCTGCCATTACTAGTATTATTATTCTATCTACAGTATATATTAAAATAAAAGACAGTTTACATAAGTAAATGAAAATAGGAATGTGAGATAAAGGCTTAAGAACCAACTGGAATAAGAAAAGAGGACACAGTCTTAAAAACTGGAGGTGGGACTAGTCAGAGAATAGTAGCAAAACAGCAATATTTCTGATAGGTTTTTTTCAATGGGAAACAGGCTTGTATAAAAGAAAGAATGCTGATCTAGAATGCAGCAAACCTGGTTTCTACTGCTTGCTCTGCTATTAATTCATGTGACCTACCATTAACAATGACTTCATCACAAACAAGATATTTATCTTTTTTAAAGATACATAATTGTAGACCCATCTACTACTGCAATACTTACGGAGGAATTTTTTCTTTTCATCCAAAGTTAACTTGTAGAAAGCCTTCCAGAACATCAGTATAGTAGGATGAGATTTGTGGTATTCTCCACAATACACTGAATTCTTGAGAGAGAAGAAAATGGGTTTTTTAAGAGGAAATATATAGGAGTTGTTTGGAAAAAACTGGGAACATGTTTGGTATCACCTACGTTTTCAAATTGTTTCCAGTCGTAATCGGTATTTCCAATTATTGCTTTCATTAGTTCTTCAGGCTGAAAAAGTCTAATTATATTCCAATTACATACTTTGTAAAATCCTCTATGAAATTCCTCATAAGTTTCCTTTACAGAGACGTTGAAAATGTAATCAACATACTTAGAAATATAGTCTTTCCTAGAGGGAATTTTAAAAAAAAAGTCAATGACATACTTTACCAATGACTAAAATATTCTCTATTTTACTCTTTTTTTATCATTTCTATTGAGAAAGAAAGTAAATTTCATCTGCATTGCACACAAGCCTGTACAACATAGGGACATAAAAACCTGGTCCACAAGAACAGAAGACTTAGAGAATAGAAAAAGAAAGATTAAGTCTTTATTTTATGCTCATTTTCCTCACTGCAGTCAGGAGGATTTTTTTTTAACCATTAATCTGAATAGAGATGCTCCAAGAAATCCATTGTAAATTGAAACTGTTGTTAGTTGAACATGTATTTAATATATCTAACAACATACTGAATACCACAGCTTAGCAACACAGTTCATTGTATGGTATTAGTTATTCTCCCTCTTGATCATGTGCCTGACCAGCCAGCAGCTGCCCAGCAACCAAATACTGCTATACTCCACTCACCAGGGAAAGATCAAAATCCAAAATTTGAAGTGTGGTTTCTACTAGCTGCATATTGCTTTCATGTGATTGTAAAGTTGAACCATCATAAGTCATTCTCCTGCTTATAACCGTTCAAAGGCTTCACATACACTCTTAGGGCGGATTTCAAACTTCCCTCCCTGAGCTGACCCTTGCCTGACTCAGCAGCGTCTTGGTCCTCCATGCTCATCTCTCATGTCATGGCCTTACTAGAGGCAGCTCTGCAATACAGCTGTCCTCTCCAGCATGTTTCCTCTTTACCTGGCAACTTTTGTGAGTTATTAGACTCTGCTATCAATGTGGTATTTTCAGGATTGGTTCTCCTATTCCCCTCTTGCTCACCCCTCTCCCCGCACATGGCACTTTGTGGAAATCACTTCTGCATGAACTGACTTGCACTACAGGATAGAGTTTCCACCATATAATGAAGTTCCTGGTGACAAGTACTATGGTTTGGATATGGTTTGAGTGTGTTCCCCAAGACCGCATGTGTAGAAATCTATTCCCCACTGTAAGGAATTAAGAGGGTAGGATCACATTAGGTTACTACAGTAGAGTCCCCATGATTGAACATTGGTGGCCTTCTTATAGGGGAGAGAGACCAGAGAGAGACACACATGTGCTCCTTGTCTCTTTTCATGTGATGCCTGTGTCACTTCAGGACACTGTCAGCAAGAAGGCTTCACCAGATGTGGCCCCTTGAACTTCCAGAACTGTGAGCTAAATAAACCTTTTCTTTATAAAGTTACCCAGTGTCAAACATTTCACTATGAAAACAAACTACTGCAGCAGAGCTGCTTCTGGAGACATTTTCACCAAAGGACTGATTGCCCCCCACACACTGCACCCTTTAGGTGAACTAGTCTATCTACATCAACTCGCTACTTCCTGGTAACCAATGGTGCTGACAAATATTTAACAGCCAGTGTTCTGAAAGGAGGGGGAAAGAGAGGGTGGGAGATGGAAGAAGGGAGGGAAGAAGGCAGAGGACAGGGACAGGACATGGATAGAGTGAGGAAGAGAGAGAGGGACAGAGAGAATGAAGGGAGAAAGAGAGAAAAAGGAAGAGGGACAGAAGAGGGAAAGAAAGGAAAGAAAGAAAGAAAGAAGGAAAGAGAGAGAGAGAGAGAAAGAAAGAAAGAGAGAGAGAGAAAGAGAAGGAGCAAGTGAGAGGAAGAAAGAGGAAATGAGGGAGAGAGGAAGAAGGACAGGGACAGAAAAGAGGGAGACTGAGAAGGAGGAAGGAAGAGAGAAAGAGAAAAAGAAGAAGAAAGAAGGGAGACAAGAAGGTGGAAGGGAGGAAAGGAGAGTATGTGCAGGTATTTCTGCATTTGTCAGTTTCTGTGGTATAAATATTCCCACCATGACTGACTTCCAGCTACCAATGCTTTAGTAATAAACTGTCAACCATTTGAAACTTCAGCAATCAACTAATCAGCTCTCAAAACTGGTACCAGCTGGCTCCAGCACATCATTATTTTTAGGTTCTTAGTCCCTTAGTTGGTTTTAATTTTCTTCAGACCGCTCATCTTTATCTTACATTATATTACATAATAATTTATTGATGTATAGGCTTTCTGCTCCTCTAGAATTTAAGATTCAGATTTTGTATTTTTCAGTTGTATTCAATTTCTAGAATATGGTCTGGTATAGAATAGGGGCTCAAAGGTATTTGCTAAATGATGGAAATATTTATCCCTGAATCCTTTCTCCCCTTCTCTTACCCTATGGCCTTTTTATCATTCTAAAAGAAGAGGAGCTAAAATCATGATCTGAGAAGCTAAATGCATTTTTAAGGTATTGTGATACAAACATTTTATACATATTCAAAGCATATGTTCCAGGTCTCGAAACTTACTTGTTGCTTTGGTTCACAGGTTTAGAGATCCCGTCTGGAATTAAATCAACCTCATTTTGATCCCAGTTTATCTATAACCAAAATGTATTCAGATATGAGACATGAAAGTAAGTCTAAAAATCAATGACCAATAACGTGATTATTACCACTACATATTTCCTACAGAATTTAAAATAACTGGGAAAAATTAAGTATTTATGGGTTCAGCCTTTTAAATACATAAAAAATTTAAAACCTACCCTAATATATGTCATACATAGATCTCAAACATACATTGCTCTGTTTAGTTGTTTATGTCATTTACATTAATTGAAAAATTGCTGGCTGGTGGAGTAGCTTAAGTAGTAGAATGCCTACCTAGCAAACATGAGGCCCTACGTTCAAACCCCAGCACTGCCAAAAAGAAAAATTGCTGTATCTTATTTGAGTTAATAAGGGGAAATTTTTGCAGTACAGAAGTAAAATAGCTTTCAAAAATAGGAATATTCCATATTTAAGATTCTATAATAAAAATAAAAAATAAACATATTAGGGTTCGGAGTATAGCTCAGTGATACAGCCCTTGCCTGATATGCACAGGACCCTGAGTTCAATCCCCAGTGCCCCACCCAAACAGATTAAAGTTAAACTCTAACCTATCTTTCATTACTACTCACAGAAAAATATATGGAAAGCTCTTCAATGTCACCATCTTCATAATTTAGAAGTTCTTGCAAATTCCTAGTGAAAAAATTGGTTTAAAAGTTGTGGATCATATAAACTTTCAAAAGTAATAAATGTTCAAAAGAAAAAATTTGACCAATGTAGAAATGTATCAAGTACAATGTACATTTCAACTCTTCCATCTTCACTCCTATTCCTTGAGTAGCTCCTATTTACGGTTTGATTTGGTGAATTACCGCTACTCCATAGACACTGCTGTACATTGTGGCCATTGCACAAAAAGCTCCTCCTGCTAGACCAAGGATGATTGTGCCTCCCAAGGGACATTTCACAAAGTCTGGAGACATCTTTGGTTGTCACAATTAAGGGGTTGATCACTATTAGCATCTAGTCCATGGTTAGCAACCAACAAAGCTTTCTACAATACCCAGAACAGCCTTTAACAACAAAGAATTAAACAGCCAGGGGTTAGGGGTGGCTCAAATAAGTAGCCCAAAATGTCAATGTTACCAAGGTTAAAAAATCCTGCTCTAGTAGAAATCAAGTCAATTTATTCTCCCACTTGACAATACATGAAAATAGCATCCTTTTCCTCGAATCATTCCCAATGCTCTAAAAAAATCCTTGTTAACGACATTTCATTTTCATTCCCTCAGTTACAAGTGAAGTTGAGCATATTTTCATTTTTTTGATTGCCTCTGTCTTATACATAACTTATATTCCCACATATATTTACAGTGTGTGTGTGATGACCCATGTGTATACCATGTACTGTGCAAAGTAACGGTTTCCACCTTATAAGGCCAAGAGATCAGGCCAGAGCTCAGTTTATTGGACTAGTTAATAATTAGAGGAGCATTTGGCACCTCTTCATAAAAGTTTCATGAAGAAACTTTTTTCCAGGAGGTTTATTCTAAGTCATGCTAAAATTCAAATTCATTTAGGCATACAATACTAAAATTGAAGCCTTTGTCCATGTGTCTTTCAGTATGTAACATTATTTATACCTAAACAACTGAGTTTATAGTCTTAAAAAAGCAAACATATTCACTTACCTCCCCAAAAGAGGACTGAGTTCTTTTAAATCTTCCAAAGAAGGCTTGTGTTCTAGAAGTTTCTTATACAGTACCAGTGGGAAGGAAAGATTGGCAAGATTGAAATTGAATAGGGAAAGTCCACATAGCAGCCCAAAGAGGAAATAACTCTTCTTCTCAAATTTAGGCTGGAATAGAAGGAAAAATCCCTAAGACTATAAATAGAAGGTTGTTTGTACAAATGAATAATTAAACTAGTAAAGAAAACAATACAGTTCCCTTTTCTAAAATCACAAATTGGAAACAAAATAGACTTAAGGAGAATAAATTTTGAGGTTCTTTCACAGATTATAATACAATTTAAATGTTCTCCATAATTTTCAATACAAACTACCAGTATGGTACATTAAATAAATGAATTTACTCTTTGTTACTAATGGCATGTCTGAAATGTAAAAACACATGCTCAGACGGAGTTATAAACTAAGGCTTTCACAATTGAATTTTATAGCTATTGCTTTCTAACCCTTTCCTGTTAGTGTCAGATATGACAAATAAGTGTCCCCATGGATGGTGTGCTTGTGGTAGCACAGTCCATAGCTTGGTGTGCTAATGGGGCCAAGCTTGGGAAAGAGAAGGTCACCAACACTGCAGACCATGAAGAAGGTGGACAAAACGAGCAGAAGGAAAGATTCCTGGTTAAGTTGGTTATATAATTGGATGTGGTTTGAGTATGTTCTCCAAGTGCTCATGTTGGAAGCCTGGTCCTCTGCGTGTGTTATTAACAGAACTAGTAGGGTGTCATAAGGTCACTGGGTCATAGGACCCTAGTCTCTCCGGCTTCCTGTCCCCCATGCAATCTCTTCACCTGCATAAGCTCCTGCCATGATGCCATCGCCCATGAGGTCCTCACCAGAGCTGAGTGCTGAGCTGATGTCAGTCCTATGCCCTAGAACCTCCAGAACTGTGAACGAAATAAGCTTCTTTTCTTTGCACAGTACTCAGCCCAGATGATTGGTTATAGTAACAACAACAACAACAAAAATGAACTAATACAGTTGACTTCACTTCTTTGTACCTTCTAGTCCTGGATGAGAAGAAAAAAACCCTTGTTCCCTCTGTCTAAGTAATAACTGCAGCCCAACGGAGGAGAGATCACTAGCCTGAAAATTCTAAGACTTCAAAATGTGCCAGTGCCAGCCGTGCTGTCGGCAGGTACATGACCTTGGACACTCACCGTATTCAACATCATCAATCTACTTGCCCTCTTTACTTCTCAGCATACATGTGAGGATAAGTGATGAAAATGTATTTTAATTTTGAGAAGTAATTAATAATACAATACAAGCCAACTCAAAAATGTGGCCTCTTCTACCCTAATCAGTTTTCTTTACCATAACTTGTAAAATATACCCTGGTTTGACTTGATTTTATCACTTTTCTACCTATACCCAAATTTTAAAAAATTATTTTGGTCTCTGTTTTCTCTCCATCTAGATGACATAACGCTTGAGATCATGGGGGCTTTTCTGTGTATTGTGGCCCACACCTATCATCCCTACACTTGGGAGCCTGAGGCCGGAGGCTCGAGAGTTCAAGGCCAGCCTGAACCATAAAAAGAAACTGTCTCAAAAATAAATAAATAAATAAATAAGGGCTTTGGGGGACAGCCAGCCCTGAATTCATATTCTGGCTTTGTCACTTGCTGGTTGTATGTCCTTGGGAAATTTACTAAATCTCTGTGTACCTCAGTTTCTTCACCTGTAAGATGAGGATAAACCACCCTCTTCCCAGGTTGGATGCAAAGTATCCGATCCTCACCTGTACTCACATCTTTCTAGCCCATTTGTCCTACCCTTTACCATCAACCCCAGGTCTCAACTTCGCCGTGATATTATCGTCAACTCTTCCATCTTTTCTTGATTTATTTTCTGTTCTAACAAAGAATCCCCTAAATTTGTGTATTTCCTAAAGTTGTCATGTCACTCTCACTTACTTTATTGTGTTTTATCTTTACAATAGTGTTAAAACAAACAAGCAAACAAACCAACAACAAAACCCCCACGAATCTCTGGCCCTCCCCCAGACCTACAGACTTGGAACATGTATCGTATAAGATCCCCAAGTGGAATTATAATATAGTCTTTAGTCTTTTTTCATTCAGCACAATTATTCTGATACTCATCCATGTGTGGCTTGTATCCATAGTTCACTTTTTTATTGCAGTCATATTGCATTGTATGTATTATGTGCAACACATATATGCATTGTTTAAGTAATGTCTGAAGGAGGGATAGTTGGGATGTGTCCTGAGTTTTAGGAAGTTGCAATTTAAAGTATTCCAAGTTTGGAGAGAAATTATTGATAAAATTCTAGTGATGGATGTTTTGAGACAGGGTCTCACTTTGTAGCCCAGGCTAACCTTGAACTCTGAATCATCCTGCCTCAGCCTCCAAAGCATAGAGATTACAGGCCTATACCACCATGCGTGGCTGAGATTCCATCTTTCTAAATGATCCAAGGTGACGTGGTAGCTGCTGCTCTGGGGACCATACCAGTACTACTCAAAATATGAGTCACGAGGTTTTATATGACCCAATTTTACATTATTATCTGTAGCTTTTGTATTACAGTACATGATGAACTTTTTTCTGTTCTAAAAAACAGAAAGAAATGAAAGACTTACATTGGCAGGAAACCACATGTAGGAACCCTCCTCAGGATACATGAACATTCCATACTCGGGGTTGGTCAGCTTTTCAAACATACAGTGGAAGAACTCTGAAGTGACTCCTCCACTCTCAGGACGAATTTCTTTAATAAATTCAACCTAAGGAAAAAGAACATATTCCCATGCTCTGATTTCAAGTATAGTGCTTTAAACTGGGCATAATGACACACTCCTGTAATCCCAGCACTCAGAACGCTGAGGCAGAAGGTCAAGTCTGGCCTGAGCTATAAGACAATCTCAAAAAAATCAAAACAGTGGACTGGAAATATGGCTCAAGCATAGAACACCTGCTTTGCAAGCACAAAGCCCTGATTTCAAACCCCAGGCCCACCAAAATAAATAAGTTAATTAATTAAAATAAAATGCAGTGCTTTGATCCTTATGGAAAAGTGCTAATCTACTAATGATCATTCCTATGGCCCCTAGAATTAGCAGAACCACACACCCCTTACCTCCTCACAGTCTGTTCTCCTACAATTTGTGCTGAGCAGTGAAGGCTATGAGCCTGTTTGTTCTCAGGTTGTTACATAGAACATGCATGAATCCTGTAGACTGCCACATGTTCCAAGGAAAAAAGAGTCTTGCAAGCCTGCATCCACCCATTATGTTGACCAGTAGTTTTTTATTTTATTTTCTTATTTTGGTACTGGGGGTTTAATTTAGAGCCTTGCCTGCTAGGCCAGTCCTCTAAACTCAAAAACCTCCTGCCTTGGCTTCCTAAGTAGCTGGGATTACAGGCATATCCCACTGTGCCCAGCTGTTGTCCAGTCTCTTGAAACAAATTCTGAAGTTCTTCAAACCTTTGGGCCACTAACTTCCACAATGATTCTATTTTGTTATCTGTCTTCATCGTATCATTCACACTGCATAACCTGGACTCCAAACAGCTACTTGGTTTCTCCTGTCTATCCTCATTAGGTGGTCCACTAGACCACCCTCCTAGTCAGCCTGGCAGGAGACCTTGCAGGAATGAGAAGACCTGATTGCCCACAACTGCATGTGAGAAATACATATTAAGCAGCCCCTCTTTTTGAAAGCTCTCTCTGCCTTTGGACTTTGTGAATGAGTAGTAATAACTTAGTTTCCCCCCTACCTCTCTAACTACTCCTTTTCTACTTCCTTTTCTGGCTAATATCCTTTTATATTTTTCCCCCACAGTGCTTGAGATCAAACCCAGGAACTCATGCTAGGAAAGCACTTTGCCACTGAGCTGCACTCCCAGCCCATATCTGTTTTTTAGCCTATATTAGTGTGCAAAAGAGTTTCACTGTGATATTTCCATACATGTATATATTGTACTCTGACCATATTCACCTCTCTTACCCGCCTTTTTAAACTGTAATGTTTCATTATGCTAGTTTCATACATTATATATGTATAATTGATATCTAATTAATTTTATATAATTGATATACATTATACATGTATAATCAATATATGTATAGGTATATAGATAAACTTTGATCATATTCACCCTCTATCCTCTCTCTTACTTGGTCCCCCTCCCCTGGACAGTTTGCCTTTACATTCATGCATATATTTTTTAGGTGTAATTCCTCCATATGAAAGAAAACATGATATTTGTCTTTGTGAGTCTGGCATATCTTTTTAATGTAAGCATCCCTAAGCTTTGTTTCTTGGATATTTGTTCTTTCTCTACTCTCTTTGCTTGGGACATCTTATCTACTGATCTTTGACCAAACTCCTTGGTCACAGACATCATTTTCAAGGGCTTTCTCACTTTTCCATCTGGATAACCCAATAACAAATTCAAATTACTTCTGATTTTCTTATATCTGCTCATTCACTAGTAAGTTTGCCTATCCCACAGTCAGGAATTTCAAAATGGACCCTATAAACCTTGCTAGACTCTGAGTCTGTATTTTGAATGCATCTGTCTGGAAATTTACTTTCTTACATTTTTTTGTCATCTCCTGTATGAGAAATAATTTTCTACTGATTTCCTCACAGTCAAGATATAAATAAAAACAGTACAAAGGGAGTCATACAACTAGAAAGTCTGGTTTATAAAAATAGCATTGGCTTCCCATGCTAGGACACATGCCTCCCCTATCTGAGTCCCACCCTCCAGTTTCTGGATTCTTCTGTGAAGCCTAATTCTTTTCCTCTTAGCTGATATCAGGACAAGCCACTCCTTTCTAGATAAGACTCCAGCTCTTACCCATACAGTTAGTCACTATTCTATTCTATATTTAAAAGGCCAAATGATCTGATGTACCACACAGTAAACACCCTATGGGTACCCACAAAGGATTAAATGAAGGGCAGTTCAAAAAGTCGAAGGTCTTGACCTAAAACTAGAGCCAAAATATAGGGCAAGCGTCTGTCCCACTTGCTGCTCATTGATGGTAGTCCTAATTCTTCACCCCTCCTTGATCAAAGTCTCCTGCATGTGATTTTGTAGTTCTTCCCATTGAAGAAGCTGAGTATATTTTCCCAGCCCTTGACTTAGGCTCATCTATGAGACTTCTTTCACTCAAAAGCAATATTTTGGAATGACAGCTATCTTATACCTTCAGCACTCTTGTGAGAAGAACATGTTGCTGGTCCCAGGAGGAGGACAAAGGACATACAAAGTAAAGCCAAACTGCACCAGCCAGGTTTAACACAGATCAGCCAATCCCTATCCTACTCCCAAAAATGTAAACAAACTCAGAAAAAATCTGTGAGGCTGAGGGTGTAGGTTAGCAGTAGAGCACTTGCCTAGCATGCACAGGCCCTGGGTTCTGTCCCCAGCACTGCAACAACTAAAAAAAAAAAAAAAATCTTCCCCACCTCCCAGATGAATTGAACCTAAATCAGGTGATCTATAAACTAAGTTATTATTTTAAGCCTTTAAACACTGGGATGGCTTATTGTAAGCATTTTTGTAGCCATCGATAACTCAGTTAGCTCACAACTTAATGTGTAAGTCAACATCCATTGACATACTCTGAAGGGGAAAGCTGTAAATGGAGGATTTTTAAAGACAGACTTCATAAGATTATAAAACTATTCCCTCCCAGAACAGTAAAGATATTCAATGAGACTTTTTACTGTACCACTAATACTTTCGAAAGGTCAATGTCTTCAACTTGGCTTAACTGTCTCAGGGCATCTGCAACCAGGGATCCTCGTCCAACTCTCAGTGTAAGTGTGTTTGATTGATTATCTCCTGGCAGAATTGTTTGGTCTTTTGAATACTGCAAAAAGAAAAATTTTAGTTGGTTTCTTCTTTTGACCTCTAGGAATCCCAGGGATTGTTTAATACTTCTAGTAAAACATTTTGTGCAGCATACACTAAATCCTGCTTCCACTGCTATGGATACTCTCCTTGTAATTACTTAAGAAAAGGACATCAAACTTCACTATGGAAGTTAAAGCACTATGTTCCATAGTATGGATCAGAAAATTTATGGTACCTAGAAATTGTATGCAAAAAAATAGTAATCAAAGATGAACAGCTATGCAATTCAAGCATCTCAAATCACTTATTATAGTAAACATGATCGTTAAAGGCAATACTGACATCAAACATACTAAGACAACCATCAGTCTTAAGAAGTGCTGTGTTGGCCAGACTTGGTGATGCATTACTAAAAAATCTCAACTTCTTGGAGGTCAAAGCAGCAGGACTGTGGTGAGAACAGCCTGCACAAAGTTAGTATAAGACCCTACCTGAAAAATAAACAAAAGCAAAAAGGGCATGGGACATGACTAAAGTGGTACAATGCCTGCCTCGCAAGCACTGAGACCCTGAGTTCAAATCCCAGTACCACCAAGAAGAAAATAAACAAGTGCTGTGTTAGCACAATGAAGCTCAGAAACATAGGAGTGATTTCATTAGGAGCTTGGGGATTAGCTATACGAAGTTAGCTACAGGAAGAAGATGAGAAGGAAGTTAGCTCAGAGAAGTCTACTATCCTCTTTCAAATAGTTATGATCCATCCACACACTCTGCAATGTGCCTTAGATCACTCTGGAAGCATGCTGCAGGCAGCCTGACTTTGTATCTAGCCTAGCTCCCAGTTCTTTAAACAGAACTCTCTCTAGGTTTCCCTCACCACTTTAGTCTCTGATCTTATTTCAGCTAAACTCCTCTGGATTAGAAATTTAATTATGGACTTATTATCCTTGCTTTGACCTTCAACATTTCTCTTAAGGCTTCTGGTATATCACAAGGACAATAAAGGAATATTTAGCTTTCTTGGGGCCTGTCCTACAATAGTGACAGCAAGGCCCATGGATAACAGTGATACTCTTCCAGGATTCTAGACTGGAAGACCTTGAGCACATTGGCTTTCTACAGACACCTTGAAAAAGTGTACACGTGGTTCTGGGCTTTGGAAACCCCTGCTCCAGATCTCTGCCACCTCTATATACTGAAAAATGTACATGGGATTTCCTCTACTTTCACCTAAAGTACAGAAAGGTGAAAAGAAATGGTGCCTGGGATTTACCTTAAAGCAGTTCAGAAAAAAAAAACACAAACAGTATAGCAAAATGTTAGTAGCTGCCAAATCTTGGTAATGGGATTCACTATAGCATCATTTCCATTTTATGCATCTTTGAGTTTTTACATAACAAAAAATTAGGCCATGTGCTGTGGCTTGTATATGATTTCAGTGTATCCCCCAAAGGCTCTTGTGAGGCTTGGTCCCAGTGTGGTGATGTTAAGAGGTGGTAAAACATTTAATATGATGGGCCTAGTGCAAGTTACGTAGTGATCCCTCAGGAAGGATTCATGCCAGTTTCAGAGAGTAAATGAGTCCTGCAAAAGCAGGTTGTTTGAAAGCTATGTCACCCAACATAACTGGCCCCTTCAGCACATAGCCTTGCTGATTCTCTGTCATATTGTAATACATCAGGAAAATGGGGGGGTTAGCCACCAAGACACCCACATCATGCTGTTCAACCTCCAGAACTATGAGTTAAATAAACTTCTTTTATTAAGTAACCAGCCTCAGGTGTTTTTCATAGTAACAAAAAAAGATGAAATACAGCATACGTACCCACATTTTCGCACGTGAATATGCTTGCAATAATTTAATTTTGGATAGCAAATTAAAGATAAACGGAAAATCACTGAAAATAACACTGGCAGTTTCTTCAGGTACCTAAAAAATAAACATACCACAATGGTTTTGATAATTAAAAGAAAACAAATTCATTTAGTTTATCACCTTAAATTCACTGATATGCTTTTTGAAATATGTTTTTAAGAATACCAATTAATCACCTAGAAACAAATTTCTAAGAAAATGCATGTGAGTGAAAGTTGTTTAAGTTTTCAATGATCAACTTAGAGAACATTAAGGGGATGACAGCAAGATGCTGGAGGACTTGATGCTTCCTGCATCATCACGTGTGAACAAATGGTTGAATAACAAAGAAGAGACTACATGCAGAAGAGCCAAAGTGAGAAAAGCATGGGAGAAATGTAAAAGAGTAAATGGGTTATCTTACAAATAACCCACACCAAAAAGCAACACAAATGTTTTGCAGTACCTGCCCATCCCTGCTCCCCCGTGGGGAGGGGAAGACTACTGGAGGTGAGGGATAGATAGTGGAAAATACAGGCAGATAGGAAAAGATGGCGGACTCCACGTGACTAGGCCAGGGCTTTGTCTTCCCAACGTGCCCTGGAACATGGAGGACCCCTGCAGTCCCTGCAGGTGAGAGAGCCACTCAGGGACAGGGAAAAGACTGTGTGGACAGAGGGTGATGAAAGCCTGGGCAAATTGAAGTGGAAGGCATATCCCACCCCCACTGTGGGAGGGGAGAGAAAGGATCTTAAAAGTAAAATCCCGAAGGATGTCAACAGCTACTGAGTTCCGGGTCACCTCCTCTTTGAAGGAGTTCCCATTTTTACTTTCAGAAACTTTTCTGTTTCTCCAATAAAAATCCTTTCACTTTCTCTTCCTCAGTAAACTTTGCTAAACTCTCACTTTTCCTGGCTCATAGTTCTTTATCCAGTGGAGAAAAAGAACCTGTACCCCTAGACAGTAAGGGAAGTCAAGCAATGGCCCTGGCAGAATAGGAAAACTAGTTCTGGAACAATAGTTACTCCAACCACAAATTCTAGCCCCAGAGCAGGAATATCACGAGACAGGAATTTCTCCCTGCACTTGCCTGCTGTACAAAACAGGACAGCTCTGCATTTCTCAGACCTCTGAGAGCTGTGCAAAGGCACCATCTTTAGAGTGCCAAAGGACCCCACATTTGACTTGAACTTGCAATGAGCTGAGAAATTAAAAGGTACTGGGATAGGAAATTGGGGACTCCACCTAACTGACTGAGGGAAAACAGACAAAGCAAAACAGCTAGCCTTCTCTGGCACAGAGCACAGAAATCTGAAGCTCTATGCAGACAGGCCAGTTTGGTGACTGAAGACTGGAGTGATAAAGAAAATCACAGACTGTAGGTTTCTGGAGATCACAGCTACATTGTCTGGGTGGAAACCTTCCACCCAGAGCACCCCAGCAGAAAACATGTAGAGGTTTGCCACCCCACCCAAACTTGCCACAAAAGCCGCGTTGACCAAGGTCAATTTAAAAAACAAAGCACCCAGCCCCCACTGACTGAGAGGGCCAGTTAGTGCAGCTGTAAACTGTAAACTGTAAACAACAGCAGGCAATAAGGAGCTAACTGAGCAAGGCTGGGATTTAAACCTCTCCCCAGGGAGATTCCACATCCCCAAACCATCAGAGGCAGACTTGACAGGGCAAGATTTGGAGTGGGTCCAAGTGGGAGGCAGCATGTAGACCTGCCCTTTCAAGCCACCAGCCCCCACCTCATAGGAGTGCCCCCTCCCAGCTCCAAGTTCTCCACATTTCAACATGAAGTCTCAACCCCCCACCCCCAATCTAGGAGGCCACACCAACCCAAAACAACCCAGGGCAAAGCTCTTAGAACAAATTGACTGCCTCAGCAGCCCCTCCCTGAGGCTCCAGCTACAACTCAATTCCTCCCTCTCATACTACTGCCCTACACCTCTCTCCTTCCCGTCATCGCCCTACCCTTCCCACTCCCAACCCTAACAGTACTCAATTTCCAATTCTTACCAACCAGTATTAAGCTCCCAGATCATCCTCTTACAAATAAGAATTATGCTCCCATACAACCTTACTGGACAGATTCAGGCATCAATTGTTTCTTACTCACTCAAATACTTGATTTATTGCTCAACTGTTTACCCCAATTCTGCCTTAGGTTCTCCATGCACCCAAGGAACTAAAAGGAATATAGACCAACAGATGCACAAAACTCAGTGTAGAAATTTAAACATGAAAAACTAAGGCAATGTCTCACCTCCAAACTCCCACCACCACAACTCAACATCTAAATCCAAAAATAAGGAATTGGCTGAAATGTTGGAGAGAAAATTCAGAAGCCTACTATTAAAAATGATTGGAGACTTTGAAGAGGACTCAAATAAATGGATAAATGAAGTTAGGAAATCAATCTAGAATCTATATAAGAAAGCACTACAGAAGAGGAATTCGGCAAGGAAATGGAAATTATGGGAAAAAAAATCAAGTTAATATGTTAGAAATGAAAACTTCTATAAATCAAATACAAACCACAATGGGTAGTATTATCAGCAGACAAGATCAAACAGAAGAAAGAATATCAGAGATGGAGGACAAGATTGGGGAGCTATTGCATGCAAGCAATCATAAAGAAAAAAAATTAATATACAAAAACTCTGGGATATGATCAAAAGACCAAAGCTAAGAATTCATGGGGTAGAAGAAGGAGCTGAAATACAAACCAAAAGCAAGGAAAATCTATTAAATGAAATCATAGCAGAAATTTTTCCAAATTTATGTAACAATATACTCATGTACGGGATATAGTTCAAACTCCACTTAGACATGGTCAGAAAAGAAGATCAGAACACATCATGATTAAATGCCAAATCTAGAAAACAAAGAATGGATACTGAAAGCATCGAGAGAAAAATGCCAGCTCACATAGAAAGGTAAACACATTAGAATCACCTCAGACCTCTCAGCACAAACCCTAAAATCAGCAAAGCATGGAGCAATGTAATTCAAGCTCTAAGAGAGCATAACTTCAAACTAAGAATACTTTATCCAACAAAGCTGTCCTTCAACCTCGAGGGAGAAATAAACACCTTCCGAGACAAGGACGAGCTAACTGTTCATGTCTACCAAGCCTGCATTGCTCAGAATACTCAAAGGAAAAATATGCATGGAACAGAATGAAAAACAATCACAAATACTAGGGGCTAGTAAAGAATAAAACTCAATGTGAATTGATGAACCTACAAGAGCTAGGAAAACAGCAAGTGTGATCAACTCAGAAAACCAGCAAAACCAGAAGCTGAACAAAGCCAAAAGTAAAAAACAATTAACACGAGATTTAATCTGTAAAAAAAAAAACAATAGAAATGAGGCAGATTAAAATTAGGGAAAGTTCGGGACTCAAAGAAAAATATTACATCTTAGGCTAGCCATTCTCTGGCTCAGGAACTGCCCTAACTCATTGATTATTGGATGGGAATCACCTGGTTCCTCCCTTCCCAAAGATTAGCATAAATTTTAAAAGTACCTGGAGAAGAGAAGCATGCTCTCTCTGCCAGCAGATTCCACCTAGGCCCCACTATGCTCCCTTTTGTATTTCCCTTCTCTAATTTTTAATAAATTCCATTTATACCTAGGAGTCCTGGGATGGATTTTTCCCTGCCAAACACAAAGAATTTAGAAGTCTTCTGATCACAGATACTCCAGCCACCAGCAACAATGTGACAAAGTCAGCCAACAGAAACATTGAGCCCCCAGACTCTATTTCTATTCTCTTCTCTTTCCTCTGTTTCTCTAAAACCATAGCCAAGGGAATGGGCTGAGCCCTGCACTCAAGAAAAGCAGCTGGGAAATGCCAGGTCCATTGGATCCAGAAATGTCAGAACCAAGAACAGGATACACTCCGAAGTCCACTGGTGACATGCCAGATGCGTGGGGGTCTCACCCCACACCTGGGTCCCAGATCACCCCAAGGCATGTGGTTCATGTTGCCAGGTCCTGCTCCAGGGATACATGCCCCAGGGAACAGACCACATTAAACCAAGATGCCCCTTTCCCTTCTTCCTCTTCCCTCCCATCCTGCACCATGCATGCACTCCAGGTCTCCCGCAGCCTCTCAGTGCAGGCACTCAATGTCGGGGCCAACGGCCTCCACCCTGTAGCATATGGGCTCACTTTCCCAAAAAGGTGTTGTGTGGAAAGTGCGCACCAGGGTCCCTAACCACCTGAGTCAGGCAGCTGTGTGGTCTGGGGAGGATGATGAGGACCACCCCAGAGCCCTGGGCAATGGCCAACCATGGCAGGTGCCAGCCATGGCAACTGTAGCCCCAGGCACTCAGGCTGGAACTCTCCATCCGTCCTCCACCTTCCTTACCTGTCCCATGCTATGGGAAATCTTCTGATCACAGACACTCTGCCCACCAGCAACAGAAACACAGGAATCAGTAAACACCTCTCAATCATAACGCTAAATGTAAATGGACTTAACTCTTCCATCAAAAGACACCGATTTTCATATTGGATCAAAAAGCAAGATCCAACAATCTGTTGTCTACAAGAAAACACCTCACAACCTAGGATACACAGCAATCCATGTAACTTTCTCCAAAACAGATCACATCATAGGTTATAAAGCAAACTTCAACAAGTACAAAAAAACTGAAATAAGCCACTGTATCCTAACAGACCATAATGGAATAAAGTTGGAAATCAATAGCAAGGAAAACCACAAAAACCATTCAAACTCATGGAGATTGAACAATACACTTTTGAACAAGCAATGGATCATTGAAGATATTAGGAAAGAACTTAAAAAAATTCCTAGAATCAAATGAAAATGAGGACAACAGAACCTGTGGAATTTAGCAACAGCAGTCTTAAGGGGAAGTTTATAGCCATGAGTACCCACATCAGAAAAGTAGAGAGATCTCAGATAAATAATCTGATGACAGATCTCAAACTCCTAGAAAAACAAGAGCAAGACAATCCAAAAAGTAAGAGACAGAAAGAGATTATAAAAATCAAGGCAGAAATCAATGAATTGGAGACCCCAAAAACAGTAAGTCAAACCAAAGAAACAAAAAGCTGGTTCTTTGAAAAAATAAACAAGATCAACAAACCTCTAGCCAAATTAACTAAAAGATGAAAGGAGAAGACTAGAATTAATAAAATCAGAGCTGAAAAAGGGGATATTACAAAAAATACCAATGAAATTCAGATGATCACATGGGAATACTTTAAAAACCCATGTTCCTGTAAACTGATAAATAAAAAAGAAATAGATAAATTTCTTGATACACATGACTCACCAAAATTGAACCAACAGGTTGTAAAAATTTAAGCAGATCTATGACAAGTAATGAGAATTTCTATATACATACAACAAACATTTTGAAAAAGAAATTAGGAAAACAATACCATTTACAATAGCATCAAACAAATTAAAATACCTAGGAATAAATTCAACAAAGCAGGTGACTGACCAATACAATGAAAAGTACAAGTCACTAAAGAAAGAAATCAATGAACACATCAGAAGATGGAAGGACATTGCATGCTCATAGATCAGCAGAACCAAAATTGTGAAAATGTCTATAATGCCAAAAGCAACCTATCTATTCAATGCAATCCCTATCAAAATTCCAACAGCATTTTTCACCAACATAGAAAAATCAATCTTAAATTTCATATGGACCACAAAAGAACTTGAATAGCCAAAGCAATACAAAGCCAAAAGAGCAATGCTGGAGGCATCACAGACATGAAAACCCTGACACAAACCCATGAAACTATAGCCATCTAATTTTTGACAAAGGTACCCAAAATAAGCTCTGGAGAAAAGACAGCCTCTTCAACCAATGGTGCTGGGAAAACTGGATTTCCACATGCAGAAGATTGAAACAAGATCCCAGTCTCTCATCTCGAGTAAGCATCAATTCAAAATGGATTAAAAATCTTAATGTAAGATCTAAAACTGTGAAATTAATCCAGGAAAATATAGGGAACACACTGGACCACATAGGCACAGGTGATAACTTTATGAATGGAACTCCAATAGCTCAACAGGTAAGAGAAAGTATTGACAAATAGACTACATGAAACTAAAAAGCTTCTGCATAGCAAAGGAAACAGTCACCAGACTGAAGGGACAGACTACAAAATGGGAGAAATCTTTGCCAGCTATACATCTGACAAGGGATTAATAACCAGAATATACAGAGAGCTCAGAAAACTAACCACTCAAAGAATCAAAAACCCACAGAAAAAATGGGCAAATGAACTGAACAAACAACTCCCAAAAGAAGTACAAATGGCCAATAAACCTATGAAGAAATGCTCAACATCTGAAGTCATAAAAGAAATGAGAATTAAAACTACATTGAGATTTTGCCTCACCCCAGTGAGAATGGCTATCACCAATAACACAAACAACAAATGCTGGCAAGAATGTGGGGGGAAAGGAACACTTCTATACTGTTGGTAGAAATGTAAATTAGGGCAACCACTATGGAAAGAAATATGGAGGTGACTCAAAAAACTAAAACTAGAACTACCATATGATACAGTGATATCATACGATATCACCATATGATACTCCTAGGTATATATTTGAAAGAATGTACTCCAGGATATGACAGATCCACTTGTACACCCATGCTTATTGCAACACTATTTATAATTGCCAAGGTCTGGAAGCATCATCAGATGCTCCACAACTGATGAATGGATTAAGACAGTGAGATATATATATATGTGTATATATATATATATATATATATATATACACACACACACATACACACACACAGTGGAGTTTTATTCAGCTATAAAGAAGAATGAAATTACATTGTTTATAGGTAAGATGGAACTGGAGAACTTCATGTTAATTAAGCCAAACTCAAAATATCTATTAAAGGTCACATGCTTTCTCTCATATGTGGAAGATAGACCTATAAGTTAAATGTATATAGAGAATATAGAGAAACACATGATTTTATATATATATATATATATATATATATATAGAGAGAGAGAGAGAGAGAGAGAGAGAGAGAAAACAAAACTGCATTACTGAGACTATCTGAAAGGGCTATGGGAGGTGGTAGAGAAAGAAAATTTTAAAGAATGAAAAATATTGAAACAACCCATCCATATCTGAATATAATATAATGCACCATACAGTAAGCTGATGAATATTAGGGGAACATGATGATAAAGAACAGAAGGGAGGGGATTAATTTGATAAAAGTACAATATATATAAACCTGAAGTAGCAAGACAAAACCCCCTTGAACTATCAGTATACACTTACTTTTAAAAAATGAATAGCAGGAGAGAAAAATAAATCTTATCTGGGGGTTACCAGTGGGAGAAGGGTAGGCACAAGGAAAGAGGGAATGAGGGTGTATATAGTGGATGTATTTTTTTATCCATATATGAAAATAGAAGAATGAAACTTATTGAAATCATTCTAAGAAGGGGAAAAGGGGAGGGAGAATGATGGAGGGGGTAAATCCAACTAAGATATATTGTAAGCACACATTATATGCTAATAAAGTCATTTTAAAAGTTTTCATCACAATAGCCAAGCTTTAGAAACAACTCAGGTGCCCTACAACAGATGAATGGATCAAGAAATTATGGTATATATACACAATGGAGTATTATTCAGCCACAAGGAATAATAACATGGAGTTTGAAGGTAAATAGATGCAACAGGACATCATGTTAAGTGAAAGTAAACCAGGATCAGAAACACAAAAGACACATCTTCTCACATATGTGGAAGACAGATCCAAAGATAAACATGTGCACAAAAACAAGCATGATTGTATACAAACTCAGATGTAGAACATGTTTGTAACAGTGGAACTACTCTATGGAACTCAGGGAAAGAGGGAAAGGAAAAGAAAATGACAGCATCAGTAATATTGTATAACATAAGATGTGAAGGTACAGGATATAAGGATGTATACTGAAATCTATAGAAAAACAGGAGGTGGGAGGTAAAAGGGTAAGGGAGAGTATTTGAAGGGATTGAACAGATCAAAGTAAAGCACAACCACAGTGGACATACATTGAGACACTCTTTTTAATATCAATTTAAATATTAATAAAGAAAACCAGGACTGTAAAATACATACAGTGGGGAGGGGGAGATACTAGTGGGAGGCAGAGAGTAAAGGAAGGAGATTAAGGTGACAGTATATGGCAGATGGACTTCATATACCTGTATGAAACAGAACGAAGAAACCTCTCACAATTGCTTTAAGTGGGGTGGGGAGGAGGTTGAGGGGGAGAGATATGGAGGCAATGTAAATAATGTACAATATAAGCCTAATCAGAATTGTCACTATGAATCCCTTCCTGTATAATGAGTATATCCTAATAAAAATTCATTTAAAAAAGTATTCAATGATCATGCAATTTAGCAAATTCAGCATTGTAATGAGGAAATTTTAAATCTTGCCTTATCAAAGGGATACTTACACAGCTACTGGTGTGTCCCACTTTGAATCAGGAACATCATAAGTGAACATGTCATTCTTACCATATTTTTATCCCGCAAGGCCAGTCTCTGTCCCTCTGCAAAGAAGTCAAAGTTGCAGGAGAGTTCCTTTATGTAGAAAGTGCTCTCTGGTAGTAGAGAGTTTATTTTGTTTACCTTAAAGAAAATATGACCTGGAGTTTCATTTTCTATTAATAAATGACATCATCTATGATCTATAGATATACACACATATACCAAATACATTTGTCAATGATAAAGGAGAGTTCTGTAAAATTTCCATTTTTAACCTGAAATTTCTCCAATTTTCATAAAGAATTATTACTAAAGATACAAGACACTGTCAGTGAGATGAGTACCCAATTCCTAGGACTCAAGTGTACTGAAAATTGTTTCTAGATCTTGGAAATAAATGCACCATAAAAATCCAAGATTATTTTGGCAAATTTAGCATTTCTTTGCTCATTAATGAATATTAATTTGACCTACACTATTTTCCTAAGTATTGGATGAGCCAAGATAAAAGTCATCAAGGAGGGGGAATCCACAAAAGAGAGATATTCTGAGCTGGGCTTAAAAGCCAGAAACTTCTAGACACGGTGAAATGTGCCTAAAATCCCAGCACTCAGGAGGCTGAGGCAAGGAGGATAGCGAGTTTGAGGCAAGCCTTGGTTACATCATAAAAAAAAGAAAACAAAACACAAAAAAGCCAGAGACTGCAAAAGGTATTTTAGCAAGACTGAGATTGGAGGAATGCCTTCCCTCACTGTTAGTATGTTTCACTGGAAAATCAGATTCCATTACTCAAGAATTCTCTCAAGTCTTACTATTTAACCACACACATTGATTTATCAGTGTGCAACCATTTCTTACCTACTATGGTGCCTATAATTAAAAGAACAAGGAAACAAGTATTGAAAAGAAAAAAATTGTCAGTTTCATACTTTGTTTATAGAATGCAGAATGGTACCGGTGTTTTAGAAAAAACCTAGCAGTTCCTCATAAGATAAACATAGGATCGTCACATGACTGAGCTATCCCACTGTTAGTACATGTCCAAGAAACACAAGAACATACACGTAAACAAAAACTTGTGCACAAATATAAATAGAAGCACTATTCCTAATAGCCCAGATGTAGAAAAACCCAAATATTCACCAGCTGCTGAAAGGATGAAAATGTGGCATCACCATAGAATGAATTATTATTTATCAATATAAAAGAATGAGGTGTTGATACATGCTACAACATGGGTGAACACTGAAAACATTGTGTTATGCGAAAGAGGCCAATCACAAAAGATCACATGTTGTATGATACCATTTACATGAAATTTCCAGTTTAGGCAAATTCGTAGAGACAGAGAAAGGATTAGTGTTTACATATAGCTGGGGTAGGGAGGGTATGGGAGTTTGGTGGCACTTATGACTGCTAATGAGTACAAGACTTCTGAGAGTGAGGAAAATGTTCTAAAGTTGACTGTGGCAGATGCTGTAAAACTGTGAATACACTAGAAATTACTACATTGTATACTTTAAATGGGTGAATTGTATGATATGTGAATTACATCTTCATAAAGCTATTTTAAAATATAGACAATAAATAAAAATCAGGTACTTATAAATTAATCTAATAAGAGACTGCAAGACTTCTGTACAGAAAACTATAAAATACTATTGTAAACAATTAAAGAAATCTTAACAAATGGAGAGATGTAACATGATCAAACCTAGAAGTCAATATTATAAAATCATCTATTCTCTCTCTAATTATTCTATAGCTTCAGGTCAATACCAGGACAAAAACACAGCCAAAAGCCCAACTGACCAGGCATGGTGGTGAGTATCTATAATCCCAGCATTCAAGAGGCTGAAGCATGAGAATCACAAGTCCCAGGTCAGGCTACATACAGAGATACTTTCTCAAAAAAAAAAAAAAGCATAAAAGATGTGATTTTTGTAGAATAACAAAGTGATTTTAAAGTTTATATTTAAGTGTAACAATAATAAAGAAGAAAAAATGTTCAAAGACTGATTCTACCACAGGCCAATATCTATTAATTTATTAAAGAGGCAATAATAGGACAGTATTATATTGGTACAGGAGACATGAACAAATGAAAATAAATGGGTACTTTATTTTCAACACAGGGAATACTTGAAAGTACCAAGGAAAGAGAAATACTTTATTAAGAAGTAAAATTAATCTACAAGGAAAACAAAGTTGTATTAAGAAATAGTACCCTCATATCATGCTCTGTTTGTAGTAGGAGGGAATGAAACCCTAAAAGCAAGAAGCATAAAGACACAGACAGGTCTGATGGCAACATTTTTGGATCCCTGGATACAAGCCTAAACTTAACATGACCTCATATTATGCTTTCTCTATTACAACAATAGTAGAACAAATATAGTCTTCCATTTGTCCATAAAAATGAAAGAAACTATCCCAAGAACTCAGACCGATGATCATTTTGATTATAGTTTAATATAATAAATTATAAAAAATGGCCTTAATTACTAATTACTATTAATTAGTTTAATAACTTTTCTTCCTAGCATGAGAACACCAAAGCATAAATCACTACCCACATGGAGAGAGATGAGTACAAAAAAATAGTAAGCTCTGCTACTCAAAGGTGGTCCTTGAATTATAATCACGAAATCACTAAAAACTTCTAAGAATCTCAGGCCCCACTCAAGGCCTATGAGATCAACATTTGCATTATAACAAGATCCCAGGTAAATGAAAGTGCACATTAAAGTTTAAGCAGTGCTGCTTTCATTGCTTTTGACATTAGCACCTGTCAGCATATAACTAAACTCGGTTTACTCCTGGTCTGCATCTCTGAGATTTAAGAGCTCTTTTGGGACTCACTGATCATTGTGGGAACCACCCTTTCATCTCTAATATTCTTATGTCCCTACCACTGGGCAAGAATACAATCTAATTCCTAGTTACTGGGACCACACTCTAAGCAGAATGAGGATGTCATAGCCATGCCCTGTGACTTCTGGACACCAATGGCTCCCTGTAGTCCTATTTTAATAGATCCTGTGCTCTGGGTGGCCCTAATGTTGACAAGGCCATAGAGTATGTGACCATCAATCCTAATGGCATTGCTTGATTTTCCTGCAGTAAAATTCAACAAATAATCTGAAAAGGACAGTTAGAATCAAGTGGTGCAGCAGTATCCACTGGTCCTTTCTTTGTTCTGGCTATAGTCCTCTATAAACTTTTCCTTCTGTCTTTTTATTTTTATTTAAAACTATAACATATATTCAGTAAGTATGTAAATCTTAAATGTACAGCCTGATGAGTTTTTATGCATATACACTTAGGTGATATCACACAGATGAAGATGTTGAACATTTTCAGTAGCCCAGGGGTCCCCCACGCTCCTTCCTAGTCAGTTGGCCTCCCTACCAAGAATCAGAATAGTATCATTCTGATTTCTATCATCATAGATAAACTTGGGCTGTTTTAAAAATTCAAGTGAAAGAAGTCACAGAGCATGAAATTTGTGTGTAAATCTTTTGCTTACTACTGTGTTGATGAGATTGTTTCATGTTGTCATGTGTAGCAATACCACAGTGTACTCTTTGTTGTTGTTTTGTTTGTTATTGTTTATTTTTTGAGACAGGGTCTCGCTATGACCCCAGACTGGTCTTGAATACATGAGCCTCAAGTACTTTGGTTACTCAGAGTTCTTTTTCTTAATGAAAGAAGTTCCAGTTGTTAAACATCATAAGTTCTAAGTAATAAATTTAGAGAACCATCCTAAGTTCTCACATGTTCCTCACTTTTTAAACTTGCAAATTTTTTTTGCTGAGCATTTCTCTTTTAGACGTTACAGACAGCTCTCCATATCCATGGCTTCTGCCTCTCTCACAGATTCAGCCAACCCTGGATCAAAAATATTTGAAAAAATTTCATCTGTACTAAAGATGAACAGGCTTTGTTTTGTCATCATTCTCTAAATAATACAGCATAACAATTACTTACAGAGTACATGGTATTAGTATTATAAGTAATCTAGAGATAATTTTAAATATACAGGAGGGTGTGTCCTATGAAAATACTCCTTCTATATAAAAGATTTTAGCATCTATGGGTTTTGGTCCTAGAACCAAAAGGATGGCTGCATTTAAAAAACATGACTCCTCGTGATTCTTATATGACTTCCCAAGACTTCAACTGACTGAGAAGAGAGCATATACATTGGCATATACATTCCTTTAGACGAACCCTTACCTTACCTCATGCACTTCTCTCATCGTTTCTAGAAGAGCTTTAAATTTACGGTGACGCTCTAAGGGTGAAGCTGAAAAATGCTGCTCACAGATGAAGGCTGTTTTAAGCATCTGGACCAGTGTGCTCAGGGAAGATGCTTCCAAAGACGCCCAGCACTTTTCTGAGGGGTGCCAAAAAACAACCGTGATAAATATGGTTCTCTTCCCAGACAAAACCTCAGTTTCTACTGGGTCCTTTCATGTACAAAATGTTGTCCATTTCCAGTGGCATAGCCCATAAAATATCTTTTTTAAGAATACCATCCTGAATAATACTTATTACAGATGTGGGGGAGAAAGTTTTTTCCCTAGTTAAGTATCATTGGAATTAAAATTTCAAACTGAGGATTTCAAGAAATCATTAATGGTCATATTTATGCTTAATTGATTGACTTCATGATTTTCAGACTGACCATTTTGTAGAGTATCTATAAAATCTGAAAATATACATATGCAGGTACATATACAATGTTACTAAATACATTTTTAATCCATAAAATATTATCTAACATTATCTATGTTTGCATATTTTACAAACAACTGTTACATATGGATATATACATATTTAAAATAGAGATATGTTAATAGGACTGAGATTGCAATCTGGATTGCTACCTTTAAAGGAGACTTCTCAGAAAATGGCCCTATCAAATGTTAAGATAAATTACCAAACTAATAGAATTTAAACAGTATTACCAGATATGTGGAAAGCAAGTCAATACACAAGGCAGAAATTTCATAAATGGATTCAAGAACACATGGGATTTTAGTATCTGATAAATGTGGCATTGCATATTTGAGAGAATAAAACAGATCATGTAATAAGTATGTGAGGAGAATTGGAAACTCATCTAGAAAAATAAATTTAACCTAGATAAGCTCTATATAGGTCAAAGATTTAAATATAAAAATAAAATAACAAAATTATATTCGGAAAAGAATGAAATTCTGTTGTTTGCAACAACATAGATAGAACTGGAGGACATTATGGTAAGTGAAATAAGCCAGGCACAGAAAGACAGACACAGCATGTTCTCACTTATATGTAGAAGCTAAAAAGTTGGTCATACAGTAGTAGAGAAAAAAACAGTGGTTACCAGAGCCAGGCAAGTAGGGGTGGGGAGGCCAGGATGGAGACAGCATGGTTAACTCAGATAGACGGGCAGTCAGATAGCAAGAATAACTAACTTCTAATGTTCCAAAACATGGCAGAATAACTATGGTTGATTGACAAGAATTACTTAAATATTTCAAAGTAGCTAGTAGAGAGGATTCTGAACATTCCAACACAAAGAAATGATAAATGTCTAAGGTGATAAATATGTCAATTATTCGATCTGATTATTACACATATACTGCAATGCCATGCTTTTTATTTATTTACTTATTTTTTGCACTGCTGGGGATTGACCCAGGACCTTGCTCATGCTAGGCAAGTGTTATACCATTGAGCTACATCCCCAGCCCTGAAATGTCATATTGTGTCCTATAAATATGTATAAGTACTATGTGTCAATTAAAATAAAAATACATTTTAAAAGTGAAAAAACTATAGGAGGAGCATGGGAATTTTTTAAATTTCAGAGAGAGGTAGACTTTTTGAAGTATGATCCCTAAATCCAGAAACATAAAAGAAAATATACTATAGAGGCTACATAAAAAAATTTATATAACTATACATGGCAAAAATACCACAAAGCAAAAGGAAAATTAAACAACCTGAGGAAAAACTATTTTTAATTCATATTATTGATAAAAGATTAATTGCCTTAATAGTTTAAAAGGTCCTAAAATAAAACAAAATATAATTAACCACTGGGGAAAAGGCTAAGAGGGAACATCCACTAGTTTACAGAATGTGATGGACAAATGAGCCTGGGATAGAAGAAAACATACACATGCTCACTCATAATAAGAAAAATTCAAGGGCTGAGGCTATAGCTCAGTGGAAAAGCATTTGCCTAGCATCTGCAAGGCCCAGGGTTTGATCCCCAGTACCACAAGGAAAAAGAACAAAAAACTACTGTCAAAGAAAAACTCAAATATCAATTAACAGCTTTTTTTTTTTTCCTGAACGGCAAAGATCAAAATTTGGTGATAGTTGCTGATGAAGTTCAAATTGGTATATCCTCTGTCAGGCCTATTCTATTGCCCAGCTTTGAGGCTGCAAGTTACATAGGCAATAATGTGAATAGTGGCCACTTAAAGTTGGGTGACACAGTGGCCCTAACATCTGTAAAGCATCATTTGGCAAAATTTCTCAAAATAAAAATGCACCTACAATTTGATCCTGTAATTTTGCTTCCTGGAATTTTTCCTCCAGGTGTAAATTTATATATGTATAAAAATTCATGTTAGCACAGTTATCGTTGCAAAAGTAGAAACAACAATCCATGGTACATCCTCCTGCAGAATTCTCTTCAGCCTGTCATAGTTCGGATATGGTTTGCCCTACAAGGACCCATGTTTTGGAAGCTTGGTCCCCGCTGTGGTAATATAAAGTGGTAGGACCTTTAAGATGTGGGGCCTTGATAGGTCAATGGGGGGGTCCCAGCCTCAGAGGGAAATGAGGCAGTTCTCATAGCTCGTCTGGCAGTTCTTGTGTTCTCTGGCTTCCTTGTCAAGATGTGATCATTTGCTCCCATACATGATAGTTTTATTGCCATCCACCATGAATTGACACATCCAAGAAGCCTTCACCATAATTAAGTAAATGCAAGCAACATATCCTTAAACCTTGAAAACTGTGATGTATATAAGCCTCTTCTTCCTAAGTCTCCCATTTGAGGTATTTTGTTATGGTGATGAAAAGTTGACTGATATAGCCAGTAAACAGAATGAGGCAGTTCTATACAAGCCTGCAATGAAATGATCTCCATAAAGTACAGTTAAGTAGAAAACAGTAAGTTGCCAAAGAAGAATGTGAATAGTTTCCTACTATGAAAAGAATAAAGAAAGAATATTTTGTATGTGTTTGTATACATAGAATATCTAGTTTACCCAAGAAACCAGAGTCCATAACCACCTTCTAGAGGGGAACTGAGTAGCTTATGTTTCACTCTACAAGTCCTTTGTGCCTTTTAAGCTTTAGATTTTCAGCATTAGCTTAATCCCCTAATATTGAATAAAATAAACAATAATACAAAGTTTAACATTTTTTCATCACCTCTGGTCAAATGTAATCTCTTGGGAGATACTGTGTTTGGAAATGGAGTTGTAAAACCACCTCTGAACAGTGTACTGTCTGGACTTGTTTGTTGGGTTGAGGGAGGTGGGAAGGAAGAGACTACAAAAAAGTATTTTGTTAGTGTGTGTTAGAGAATTTCAGAATATCCATTACCCTATATGTTGTGTACTTCATTTAACTCGGCTGTACTGTATATATTGTGTATATACTGGACAAATGAGTCCTAATTTTATAATATCTAGTCTCTAGATATTAAAGAGGTTGCCAATGTATGACAAAAATAAATAAATAAATAAATAAAAATAAAACAACATGAGCAACCCAGTGCAGTAGCTCCTGCCTATAATCCTAGCTACTTAGAAGGCTAAAATCAGGAGGATTTTGGCTCAAGGCCAGCCCAGGCAAATAGTTTCTGAGATGCCCATCTACAAAATAACCAGAGTAAAATGGACTAGAGATGTGACTCAAGCAGTAGAGTGCCTGCTTTGCAAATGTTAAGAAACCCTAAATTCAAACTCCAGTCCAACAAAAAATAAAAGAGCAAAAAGTTGTCAAGTATGGATTTGTCTTCACTGAATACTCTATGATTAATGAAGTCAGATATCAAAGACACATCCAAGTCTAACAACTATATTTGCTTTAAGAAAAGTAATGTTTATAATAGGCTTTAGGTTAATCTTTACAAAAACTCACATTCCAGGTACTTAAAGATGTGTGGGTTATGAAATCTTTTATCCAACATGTGCTATGACTTCTACTTCAGATAATGGCTCTCTATTGGAGATGCAGATAAAGAACCATAAAACTTACTCAGAACTCGTAAAGATTGTTTACTCATTTTACAAACAGCCTCTGCAAACAGAACGGCCAGGTCTCTCCATTTCCTAGCATGGTGCATCACAAGACACTCTGGGAGCAGGAGGAAAACTGACAAAGCTTCCTGGTGTGGAGAACGGCACGGCAGAGCTCTGAACAGGCTGTCCTGGAGACATGCAGCTATCTGTGATCAAAACAGGATCAGGGATAAGGCCGAGGTGATGTGAGATACAAAGTATTGTGAGAATCAAGTTATGGGACCTGAGGTTTCATTCCACCATGTTCCAACATGAATAATTCCTTTAGCCTCTCTGAAACTTGCTGCTGAAACTCCATCACTCCTCAGGTCACAGGACTTGTGAGAGCCATCCTCTCCCACTTGACATTAGGGTACATGGAAGACACAGACTGAAATCACATACACATGGACAAAGAGTGAATTGCGGATTCAAAACTAATGCAAAGCCCTCCAAAGATAATGTGAGCTGGGCGTGGTGTCAGTGCCCGTAGTCCCAGTACCGAGGAAGCTGACAGGAGAATCAGTTGATCTGCAGTCTGAGATCAGCCCTGGCAACAATAATGAGACACATCTCAAAAAGCAAAAGCCATGCTGTATACGAGTTTCCTCCGATGAGAAGGAAAAGCAGTTGTACTGTCCCTCACATACACAAAAACTATTTCTTCCTTTCTTTTTGATTTTTTATTATATCCAAAGCAAAAATAACTGAATACTTACATTGTTTATTCATCCAGAGGTAAACTTTCTAAGTAGAACATATGAGAACATATTTGTGGGAACAATCTGTATAGTATTCTCTGTATTTGTTTAACCATTCGTTGAGTACTCACCATGTGTCACTGTCATCTGCAAATTATTTGTTTTGTTTTTGAGACAGGGTCTCACTATGTAGCCAGGCTGGTTGACCTCACCTAAGACAAGCAAATCATTTTATTTAATCCTATTAATAATCTTTAAAATAGTTTTTGCTTTGTTTGAGTTTACTTTGTTTTTTACAGATGAGGAAGGAGAGACTCAGTTAAAAGAAGTTAGAGGAAGTCACCCAATAAGTGACAGATCAGGGATCTACCCTAGATCTGTCTGACGTCAAATCTAGCATGGCAGAGAAAATGCTCTGTATCCACTTCACCAACCTATTTCACTTTCCTTTTGGGTTGGCAGGAAGATCGCATTTCCTACACTCCCCAGTAGCTGTGTGAGGTCATGAGACTTAGCCCTAGCTAAGGAATATGAAGCACATTCAGGTATGGTCCCTAAAACTCCTCATGGGACCATCCATACTCTTTCCTCATCAGCCAAACCCAAGAGATCCATGAGAGCATTTTACAGCCTGAGGGTCTCCAGACTCTGGAAAGAAGGAGCCTAAGTCAAGAAAGAACCCATGCAGAGGTGCCTTCTGCTCCACATTGCATTACAACAGGAGAAAAAAATTTTGTTGTTGTTTTGCTTACTTTTTTAAGACAGGGTCTTGCTATGGAGCCCAGGCTAGCCTGGAACTAGTTATGTAGCCTGGGCTGGCCTCAAACTCAAGAACTCGTGCCTCTCCTCCCCAAGTACTAGGATTATGGCATATACCACCACCCACACCTGACAAGAAAGAAATGTTTATTGTGTTGCCAAATAGAGTATGGTGGCTCATATCTAAAATCCCAGCTACACAAGAGGCATAAAAAGGAGGATGGAAGTTTCACACCAGCCCTAGGCAAAAATATGAGACCCTATCCAAAAAATAATTACAACAAAATGGGTTGGCAGCTCAAGTGGTAGAGCACCTGCCTAGCAAGCTCTAGGAGCTGAGTTCAACCTTCTGTACTGCCAAAAAAACAAACAAGTATCTATTACACAGTAAGGAACACTCCTCCCTCTTCTCTTCCAAATTCAGAGATCCATTTGGATCCACCAAAATGGTATAAAGATTAACTTTAGTGTGTGTTGCACTAGGAGTCAAACCCATAACCTCACAAATGCCAGACAAGTGCCCTACCCTCATCTCTGATGACTACTTGAAACAGGAAATTTGAGACACAGCTGCAATAGAAAGAAGCCATTTTCTAGCTTCCTTTATCTGACTAAAGCAGAGGCTTTGGAGTGAAGCTGCCATAAACCCCTCTCTTTCCTGCCAGGAAGGAGATCAGTCCCTCAGACCACCCACACCTGGATGAGAAAACTGCATAAATGCACATTATCAGAGACTGTCATACCTTCCACCTGTCCCCTTAAAAACTCATTTCTTCCTCCCACAGAAGCCCTTTCTCCCCTCTTCCTCTTAAGTTGGTACAAAAACCCCTCCCCGAGTTTTCAGGAGCCTCTTCCTCTGACTTCCTGGATGTGAGTGAATACAGCTCTCTTCCTTTCTCTGAGGGTATAGACTGAATGTGTCTCCCTCAAATTCATATGTTGAAATCCTGCCCCCAATGTGATGTTATTAAGAAGTACAGTCTTCTGCAGGTGATCAGGTCATAAGGGCAGAGCCCTCATGAATGGGATTAGTCCCCTTATAAGTGGCACCCAAGAGTCAAGTTGCTGCCACTCACACCTGCCATACCAGCTACACAGGAGGCAGAGATAGGGGGACTGCAGTTTGAAACTAGCTTGGACAAAAAGTTAGTGAGACACTATATAAAAAATAACTAAAGCAACAAGAGCTGTGTGCATGATTTAAGTGGTAGAGTGCCTGCCTATCAAGTAGGAGGTCCTGAGTTCAAATTCCAGCACTGCCAAAACAAATAAATAAGACTCAAGGAGCCTCTTCTGTCATATGAGGACACAACAAAAATACATCATCTAAGAATCAGAAAGTTGGCCCTTATCAGCCACTAAATCTACTCATATCTCACAGCTTCCAGAACTGTGAGAAGTAAATTCCCATTGTTTATAAGCCACCCCAGACTGTGGTACACTGACATACCAGTCCCAAAATACTAACACATCCTGACTATCTGCCTATTTCTAATTCACAGCCCCAACACAAACACACACAAAAACCTAACATGGTAGTATAAAAATTTTCCTTCCTACCCAACTCAGAACCATAAAATATTGGACTTTAAACATGAACTGAACTCTTGGGTAAAAAAAAATGTGACCCAAAGAGAAGAAGGGATGAATCAACAGGCAGAGATTCACCTCAAGTAGATTTGAGACTGATCTCAAAATAGAGAGTGGGTTTTCAGTTTCCCATCCCAGGTCAAGGTTACCCTGCTTCCCAAACTAATGCACTATTCATGTGTTGTGCTGCACACTCCCTCTCATGCTCTTCTTTTCTCATACTGAAAATACAAATACTCTACGGCTTGCACATTTAGTGATTTAAGAAGAAAATAAATGCCATCACCTAATAAGTATCTGGAATTTAATAACTTTGTTAGGAACACTAGCCCCCTATTCCTAACCCAATCATAGTCCCCTGTCACCTACCTCCCCACAAAACTAACCTGCAATTATATTTGTTCCTGTAAAGAAATTTTTTGTTCTATTTATCAGTAAGTCAAGTACATATTGGCTGTTACCATGGAAGAAATCCATTCCTTTTGCAGTAACTTCTTGAAGGTATCACTTGCCATTTGTAAGTCCACATCAATGGGAATTGTTTCTCCAGTTTCTCTGTGAATACGAGAAATGTAAAAAGGAAACCACGTAAACAGTTGGAAAAGGATATTTCTAAATTTCTTATTTCCCTGTTGCTTTATATTATTGCATATAAGATAAAAACTTTTGTCTTAAAGCTTTCTTCTTTTCAAAATAATCAATTTACTTGACACAAAAATGTATAAGCTTTATATTCTCCCTGTTAAAAGACAGTGGATAACTCTATAGTAGTTACATTGAGTTTGGGCTGATTAGCCCAAAAGCTTAGCAAGATTTTGTGTGTGTGTGTGTGTGTGTGTGTGTGGTGTGGTGTGTGGTGCTCGGGATTGACCCAGGGTCTTGCACATACAAGCAAGAGCTCTACCATTGTGCCACACCAAGGACCTGGAAGATTTTGTATATTGAGTCTGAGAACAGAACCATCTTCCCTGACTCTCAGCTTGGACACTGAGAACTGAAACAACCTACTTCCCAACTACACTACCATTTATATTTACATCACTCTGTAATCCTACTGTTTCGCTTAGCAGTAGACAAATTAAATAATAGTGGACTTTACTATTCTGGGAGACTCTTGCCCAGGCACAGGACTGAACTGTTCATTGAAGAAACTTCCTGAAAGACCCATTAACTCTTCAATGGAAAGCATCAACAGACCATTTGGGCACTAGGATTCTTTGAATTACTTACCTCAAAATTCTTGCCTTACTATTCTGGATCCTTCTACATACGCCCTCAGCCCTCCCCTCCCACACTAAAAGCCTGTGCAGGTGCAGTGTTTTCTTTCTTAAAAAATATTTTTATTAGTATATGATAGTTATACAGGAGGTTTCTTTGTGACATTTCTATATGTACATAAATTGTACCCCAGTTTGGTTCATCCCCCCTTCTTCTACTCCCCTTCTTGAGATGACTTTGACTATTTTGAGATCAGTCTCAAATCTATTTTAGATAAATCTCTGCTGCTAAGTCATTCCTTCTCCTCTTTGGGTCACATTTTCTTCACCCAAGAGTTCAGATCATCTTTAAAATCCCCAAAGAAATTACCAAAGTGTGATATGTTATGCTTAGACAAAAAACAATGAATTTGTGAAAGGATAAAGGACAAATGGCTCTGTGGTCTAAGGTAATGAATTCTAAGGTTGTCATGAAGGCACATATGTGAGAAGGACGTTCTCTCAATGATCCATATTCCTACATGTATAGAAACTACATCAACCATATCCACCCTCCTTTACCCTCATCATTTACCCACCCTCTCCTAATATTACCCTCCCCTTAACATGACCTGTTTTACATTCCTGTCCTTCGTTGTTTTAGTGTCTGTTTATTGCTCAGTAGGGTTTTCCCTTAGTGTTTTACCTGTAAATATATTGTACCTTAATCAGTTTAACCCATCTATTACTCTTCCTTACCCTTTCCTCCTACCCTGTATTGTTCAATAGTTTTCAGTGTGTTTCATTGTGACTTGTTCCTACACAGATGCTATTTATTTCAATATTATTCACTCCCTATCCTTCTTTTCTTCTTTTCCTCCTGCCTTAAATTTCTAACAGTCTCACTTCTGGAAACAAGTTCTATGAATATATATATATATATATAGATAGATAGGTAGATAGATGATAATGCCTGTATTTGGATTTGGATCTATTTTCCACACATGAGAGAAAACATATGACCTCTGACTTTCTGAATCTGGCTAACTTCACTTAAGATGATGTTTTCCAGTTCCATCCATTTACCTGCGAATGACAAAATCTCATTTTTCTTTATGACTGAATAATTAGTATAGCCACTATGAAAAGCAGTTTGGAGGCCCCTCAAAAAATTAAAAATAGACGTGCCATATGATTTAGCCATACCACTCCTAGGAATATATTCAAAAGAATGTAAGTCATAATATAATAAAGACACTTGCACACCCATTTTTATTACAGCATTATTCACAAAGCCAAGCTATGGAAATAGTTCAGATGCCCTACAATTGATGAACGAATTAAGACAATGTGATCATAGATATAGATATAGATAGATAGATAGATAGATAGATAGATAGACAGATAGATATAATGGAATATTATGCAGTGTCTTCGAAACAGGTTGATTTGGTGATAGATAAGGAACCAATAGTCAACAAATCTAAAAGGGTTTTTTTTAAATAATGCATTATCAAGAAATATTTTATGCTTTCTGGATAAACTGATCAATAATAATATTAGGGCTAGGATATTTATTCAAGTTCTAATTACAAATTTCCACTTTCTTGTTTGCATCCTTTGGCGTCTTAAGAGTTCATCACTCTCAGAAGACAGACATGAATATTTTTCTTCTTTAGAAAGATAATAATGTTGGGGAGGAAGAGATTCCCTCCCCCACTTCCATCCCAATTCTTACGTGAGCTCTTTGGCTGGATCTAGTAATTAAATTAACACAAGGAAAGGCATAGAAGGTTTACTAAAATTACATGTACATGGGATCTTCACAAGAGAGTGAGTCCAAAGAAATTACCAAAGTGTGATATGTTATACTTAGACAAAGAACAATGAATTTGTGAAAGGATGAAAGACAAATGGATCTCTGGGCTAAGGTAGGAAATTCTAAGGATACCATGGAGACACATATGTGAGAGGAAGCTAAAGGAAGAAAAGGGCTACTCCATCCTGTTTATTTATTCAGCCTCACTGCAGCTCCAATTACCAAGTATAGGGATAGAGGCTGTAGTATCACCTTGTAATGAGAGGATACCTTTCCCCCAATATACATAGGGGAAAAAAAAACAGGCAAAATGACCTTTTCAGAAGTTACAGTTCCTCAGCTGATTTCAGCCTAAAATTATCAATTTGCCAACTTGGCATATTTTAGGCTAGCACATAAAACACTCTTAGTATGAAAGATTCTCATACATGCAGTAAACACTAGCATGAGTATAGAGTGCAAAAGAAAAAGGACACCTTGTCTAGAAGAGCCCCAGCCTTCCAGTCTGGAAGGAGCAAATGGAAGAGAAAAGCAGCAAGGGGAGAGAGGGAAGCCAGGACTTATTTCTCTTCTGCCTTTGGCTGGGATAAGAACAGATGAACAGTGATGATTTTTGGATAACAGAAAATCATGAGCTGCCAACTGGAAGCCATGACATCAGCTTTCCTGGGCTTTCTAGTTCCCAGAGAATGTTGTTGGGAACCAACAGCTCCCAGTCCTGCCAGGCTGACTTAGAACACAGCTGGGTTAAGAATCAATAGGACTTCTGGATAAAGAAGAATGAAGTTATGCATTTGCAGGAAAATGGACAGAACTGAAAATTATCATGTTACAAAAAATAAGCCAGACTGAGAAAGGCAAATATTGCATGCTCTCTCTCACATGCAGAATATAGACTTAAAAAAAAAAAAAAAAAAAAGAACGATCCAGGCACCAGTGGCTCAGGCCCCTAATCTTAGTTACTTAGGAGGCAAAGATCAGAAGGATTGTGGTTCAAAGCCAGCATGGGCAAATAGTTCAAGAGACCCTACCTCAAAAATACCTAACACAAAAAGAGCTGGTGTTGTAGCTTAGTGTGGAGGCCCTGAGTTCAAGCCCTAATACTGTAAAAAAATGGGGAACTCTTTGGAGGTGGGGCCCAGTGGGAGGGAGGAGTGTGAAAGGAGAGGGTGAAGATGGGGTGAATTTGATCAAGGTACTTCAGATGCTTGTCTGAAAACAGATTAATGAAACCCATTAAATTACTTGTTAAAGGTGGGGTAAGAAAGATGAATTTGATCAAAGTATGCAAATATGCAGTATAATAAAACCCCTTTGTACAATTAATGCATGCCAATAAAAAATGTATTTAAGAAAAAGAATCAATGGTACTGCAGGGGGTGGCATAGAAACAGAGAGTAGGGATTAAGTCTGTAATGTGTGGCAGCAAAGCCAGGATATGACATGAGTTCCACCATCTTTTGACGCAGAGAGTCAACGTGAAGCAAAGTTAGCAAAGGAGGCACAGGACCTGGCCATGGGAAAGGAAGGAGAATGAGTTACAGTGGCTACAGACAGATCAGCAGGGCATCAGCCTCCAAAGAGTCAAAGCCTGAATCCTCTTTACGTTCCCAGTCCTCCAGCCCCTCCCTCATACGTCCAGGTGCCACACAGGAGAGACGGAAGGAAGGAGAGAAACAGAAATATTAAAGGAAATGTTTAATCTACTGAAATCAGACCAAGTAGTAAACCAAATAGGAGAGAAATTGTGTTCTATAGCAATGAGTTAAAAGCAAAATAAATATGATCTCTTTTCCTTATTGATTCCACACAGTAAGAACTGTAAAGTGAATTCCTCATTTATAAGTGCTAGAGCAAAGTTACATACAAAGATCCTCAATAAACATTCAGATAACAGAGGAAAGCAGTGTTTAATTAGCAAGAGACAATGTTTATTAGGAATTACAATGTGTAGTAATCTGGTAGATTACTTGATAAAATGGAAGAATTATGTATCTTCCTAGAGTACTCTATGCATTCATGACAAAATTCACACACTAAACTGAGTCCAACTTTTTAGCTCTAAATATTCCCCAGTGTTTTATTTATTTATTTAATTTAGATTTTTGAGGCAGGGTCTCACCACATAGCCCTGACTGGCCTCAAACTCACAGTCCTCCTGCCTCAGCCTCCTACATGCTGGAATTACAGGCATGCACCACCATTTCCAGCTTCCCAGTGTTTTAAATGAAGGTAAATCTCATAGAAGTATTACCTTTTCTTCAAAAAGCTCTTAGTCAGACAAGCAGGAGATGAAAATATCACTGTAATTTCACTGCAAAAGTAATAACAAGGTTTACTTCACAATGTACTGTAAAGCATGCTTCCAAATCTTATATGTGAATAAATAACCAATGTCATGGAATCATTACTAATACCAAAATTCTGAGTATAGTATTTGGTGCATATCATTGTCAAATCTCACCAAAACTCTCTATAGTTGATTTGTTCGAATCTTCTAGATTAAAATAAAATCCATGATTCTGAAAACCAAAACTCCAGATCTCCAGAGTAAACTCTGAACACGCAAAAGCGCCCTAAGTAATTGGAGGCTTTGTGAGCTCCTTTGATCCATTCTGTATCTCCCTCACCCAACAGAATACCTGGGATCTCTTATTTATATTAAAAAGAAGATGAATGCTTCATTCAACAATGACTATTCTTTTTCGGTTTGCTTTTTGTTTTCTCAGACAGAGCTGGCCTTGAACTTTAGATCCTCCTGCCTCTCCTCAGTCTCCAGAATGTTCACATTACAGAGGTGGCCACAACACCTGGCTCACATCAATGAGTGAAAACCAAGAAGTGGTAGAGGAGCACCGTGGTCAAAACACAAACTCCTTCACAGCAAGGCCAGACGTTCTTTCACACAACAAGCACATCAGAAACAGAGAAAAGCGGTCTCTAATTTGTCAGTTACCTTTTAGCCTTCTCATGTTCTTTGCTTTTTATGTTCACCGCTATCCATTTTTCTGCCAGGGACTGGTTAATTTGGCTTATTTCTGGCAGGGTTTTCTTGAAAGCACTTGTAGAACTGGTATCCTTCAAGGAATGAAACAAGAATGATCAGGAAACACACATGCATATGATGAACAGCAATCAACAAAGCACCTGGCATAGGTGGTAGATAGGCCCCACCCTTTCAGACAGGTGTTTGAGTTTTGCCATAAAGCTAGCCTGGCTAGTCTACTTCAAAGCCTGGGTCACTCTGCTTGGTCTGAAACTTAAATTCCTCATTTTTTTTGAAAAATGAGATAACATGAAAAAATTGAAAATAGAGACTCAAGCAGATACTTATAAATCAATAGTCATTTCAATATTGTTCACAATAACCACAAGATGGAATTAGCCCAAGCGTACATCAACACATGAATGGATTTTAAAAATGTGGAGAAGACATGCAATGTAATATTTTTAAGCAGCAAAAGGGAATGATAGTCTAATGCATGCTATAACATGGACTTTGAAAATATGCTGAGTGAAATAAAACAGATAAAAATGACAAATATTGGACGACTCCACTTACAAAAAGTGTTGCAATAGGCAAATTTATAGAAGGTAGACATCTCTTAGGGATGAGGGGAAGGGAGAAGTGAGGGGTTATTATTCAATAGTTAGGCAGTTTCTCTTTAGGGTAGTGAAAAAGTTTCGGAGATACTGATGATAATTATATAACATCATGAATGTGATTAATGCCACTGAATCATATATATACAAACGGCCAAAATGTAATTTTAAGGTTATATATATATATATATATATAATATGTATATATGTATGTATAAATGTATGCATATATATTTCAGGCAGGGTCTCACTTTGTAGCCTGAATGGCCTCGAATTTGGGATCTTGTGCTTCAGCCTCCCAAGTCCTGGGATGACATGCATGCACCACCATTTTTTCCCCTGTGGTAAAATATTTATAAAATATCAAGCATAGTGGCACACAGTTGAGGCAGAGGACCTTGAGTTCAATGCCAGCCTGGGCTACATAGGGAGACTGTGTCTCAAAAACAAACAAACAAAAAGAACATTACTTCTCTGCTAGAAATTATACCTCACCCTCACTGAATTTGTTGAGTTATGAAATTCTATATTGCTTTTGTTTAATACTCAGTTAAGGATCTCTTTTTTTTTTTTTTTGGTAGTATACTAGGATTTCGACTCAGGGCCTCATGCTCTCTAGGCAGGTCCTTTTTTGCTTTAGTTATTTCTCATACAGTCTCACTGTTTTCCCATGCCAGCCTAGAACTCTGATCCTCCTACCTATGCCTCCCGAGTAGCTGAGATTATAGGCATGTGTGTTGGAATGGGGTCTCACTAACTTACTCCTGCTAATCTCTGCCTTCTTAATACTTGGGATTATAGCTGTGAGCTACCACACCTGGAAAAATCTCTTGAAAAAGAAACATAACCACAACTCTCCAAATTCCCTTTTTACTTTCTGGTGCTAGGGATCAAACCCAGAGCCTTGCACATGCCAAGCACAGGTTCCACCAATAAGTACACCTCCAGCCCCTCCCTTCAGCCTCTTGATGTGAGTCCTGGGTGACCCTCATAGTTCGATCAGGGTGAAGATTTCTTTCTCCCACATATCAGATCTGGGACACCAGGTCCAGTGAGAGAAGGTTCTTGGTGTCATTGGAGAAAGAATTCAAGGATGGAAACTGAGGAGACTTAGTGGGAGCAGGTTTATTAATGCAAAGCAAAGAAAAATACACTCTCCAGATGGGAGAATGGGCAAGCTTAAGAAGGAGCAGTTGCACTGGGGGTCCCAAGACCTCCAGCTATTATGGGATCAGTGGACATGGAGCACTCGTTCCTGAAAACTGGGTTCTATTTCGTTAACTCCTGGAGACTGTGTTATGCATCATTAACTTCTCCCACCTGTCGGGTGGGGGAGTTTTGGCCTTGGATGGTCAGACCAGGACTGTCATTTTTTCACAGACTGTGGGGGCTGGGGGTCACCAAGACCCTGTTGTATGTCATGAGTCATTTCCTTCACACCAGCAGGTCAGGATGTGATTGTTTTTTAACATCCAAGCCATCATTCCCAGCCATCAGGTTTGGTAACTCCCTGCTTAACACCTATGTATTGTGCTATGCTCTGCCTCACTGGCTTTCTGTCCATCATACATACCACACTTATGCTTATCCAGAGCTTTTCTATGTGCAACTCCCTCCATCTTCAATGCTTTTGTCTTTGTCTTAAAAAGAACTGATTTGAGCATTAAACACGTTGATCCATTTAGAGGACTTTGATTAGTAGCTGATACATGATAAATGCAATTAATATCAGTCATTACTGGTATTCTCACTAATACTATTATTCATTAATAAAAAGTTAGTATAAAGACAATAAATTTGAGTTTGGGATCACATCTTCTAGGAAGTTTGGCAAATGAGGACATGAAAAGTACATAATGTTATTTCAAAAGCAATCTACTAGAGGACCTCATTGTTGTAGTAAAAACAAAAATAAATAAAATGTCTCAAATTCTTCTCTGAAATCTAGAGGAAAAATGTAATTTTTAAAAGGAATATAAAATATACCAGATACCTGATGAGCTGTCACAAAGTTGGCATGTGTTCCAGCAAAAATATGTTTGACTTGAACATTCACAAGGTCTAAAAGAAAGTTAGAAATTCATGCCAAGTATTTTTAGAAGTAAAAAATAAATCTGAGGTATAACAAAGCCAAATTTATTCATTTATTGGCAATTTATAGTCTCCTAAATTTTGAATACAAATAGCCAAAAATTAATTTTGATCAGATTAAATGTCATGTACTCAATTAAAATTTTAGTTTTCCAGGGATTGTTCTTTAGAAGAGGTTTGATTAAATATATAAAAGTGATACTTAAGTAACTAATTTGGGAATCCTCTTTTGTATTACTTTTTCTTTACAAATGATTACCAATTACTCCACGAATCACAGCATTGAAAAATGCAAAAGTTTATATTTAAATTTAAAGTACTAGAAGAAACATAGTCCTATGGGCTCCTTTGAAAGGAAGCTGAATAATATTTTTCCTTCAAAAGCATCGGTTAACATAAAATCATAACCTAGAAAGACCATTCATACCAGCAGCAGAAATCAGGCAGGTAATGTCAAAGTTCTCTGTTGGAGCCTCTGGCTGAGTTGGGTTGCTTGGGCAACTTGGTCCACAACCAAAAGATACCACCTGGCCAGTGGTGTAGACATATGCAAGGGTGTGATAACTACAGAAGAGAATACACTGTAATGAAGACCCAAGTACCATGGTTTCAAGAAAGACAAAGTGACAGATCTTACCTTTACTAAGTAGACAGCTCTTTTATCACAATGTCAGTGTTAGAGAACACCAGATGACAAGGTTAAACAGATGGTGAGTGAGAATAAACTTATTAGTAATATTATTGAGGAGTCTTTACTGTCGTTTCTATCATGTGTTTTAAATGCAAACACTTTTATTTTTCAATTTTTTAATGCATTGGGTTATAAGGGCCTCAAAAGGCCCTTATAATTAAGTTATGCAAAATTCTGAATATATATGCAAATTACATCATATTCTACATGGATGAGACTAATTTTGTCTTATCAATGCAAGCAGGCAAGCATCACTTCCTGTAGCCCTAGTAAGGTGGTCCCCGGAGATCTCTAATAATTTCTTATTAAATAAATTAAATGTCTAGAATAAAGGTAAAAAAAATAGTCTATTTCAAAGAAGTAAACTTTCAAGAAAAAAAATATTTTAGGATTTTTAGGTTTGAAAAGATTGCAGATGAGTAGTTTCTAAGTAATAAAATACAACAATTTCTACCCAGGCTTTTAAAAGAAGCCTGTTACCTTCCACAATCTATCTGGGAAACAAGGCCATCGATTCTTTCTACAAGTTGTGGTCCTCTTGTCTCAGCAGTGGAGTTATATCCCAGCTGTCCAAAGCTATTGTCTCCAAATGTGAACACCTGCCCATCCTGTTTAAAAAACAAGGAACCAGATTAATTTTATGTTTAAAATATAAAAAGAAACTAGAGGCTGGGGATGTGGGGATGTAGCCGAGTGCTAGAGTTCTTGCCTAGCTTCTGCCAGGTTCTGGGTTTGATCCCTGGCACTGAAAAAAAAGTAGCTAAAAGCTTATAAATTAAATATTATGATATTTAACTTATGAGAATTGTATGAAAGCAATACATGAAATATCAGCTCTATATAAATAAATGGAATCCTTTATTATTTCATTTAGTGAATGAAGGTTAACATATGAAAACATACAAAATCATTATCATTTCCTTAAAAGCCAGGCACTTTAGAGATGTATCATACAACATGATGACTGCAGCTAATTAATGTCTTACGGCCTGGAAAATTGCTAAGAGAGTAGGTATTAATGATTCTCACTACACACAAAAAGACTTATCTTAGGTAAGACATGTTCATTACCTTGATGTGGTAATCATTTCACAGAATATATATGTATCAAAATATCATGCTTTACCCAAAACATATATTAAACTCTTACTTGTCAATGATATCCCAATCAAGGTGGGAAAAAAGAACAAGGCACTTAATAAGTGTTCATTGAATGAATTAATAGACAAATTAACTAGTTCATGAGTTACTTTGTAACTTCTATAATAGTTTGTATCTGCAGAACTACATTGTCAATGAATAACTGCCAAAAAGATTATATCCTGCATTAGTTTTTATTGTATGCTCTTAAAAATTTCATGATTTACATTTAGCTCCTTTCTCCACTTTAGATAGTTGTACATTAAATAGCTATACATAGATATTGTTATACATCTTATGTGATAGCCTGAATATTTGAGGCCCTGTAAAATTTATACGTTAAAATCCTAATCCCCAATGAGACATATCAATAGGTAGTGCCTTTGACACACGATTAAATCATGGAGGAAGATCCCTCATGAGTGGGATTAGTGCCCTTTTAAAAGACGGCCCAAGACAGACTTACACCTCTTCCACCATGTGAGCACACAGCAAAAGTGTGGTCATCAGTGAGCCAGGAAATTGGCCCTCATAAGCCAGAAATCTGCTGGCATCTTGATATTGGACTTCCCAACTTCCAGAATTGTGAGAAAAAATTTCCATTATTTATAAATCATCTAATCCATGGTATTCTGTTATAGCAGTGTGAATGGGCTATGACATCTTGCTGTCCACAATAATCAGCACCTGTACCTTGTTAACATTTCCTGGTATTAAAAAAAATAGCAACACATTTTTGATTACCTGGGTAAGCACCGCAGTGTGTTTATAACCACAGCTGATGTAAATCACACCTAGATTCTTCAGCGCACCAACTGAAAGAGGCTTGTAGCTTTGTACTGTTGAAAGAAAGCAGAATTTCTAGAGTATAAGAGACAGACTCAGAGCAGGAGAATCATGAGTCCCAGGCCAGCCTAGAGACTCTCAAAGAAAAAAAAAAAAAACAGACTCAGAATTTCATGAGCTTTTATGTTTGTTTACTTCTATCTTACAATTAATTAACAATTTAAAAAGTGACCAGAAGTATAAAGCAAAAGAAAACCTCTGCTTTGGAAAAAAGAAAACGTTTTCCTTTGTCACTGATTTCTGGAAACCCTTTAACCTTACAGAATACCTTGGGCCATTGACCAAGAAAACAAAGCCTCGGCTAGGTGCTGATGGCTCACACCTGTAATCCTAGCTACTCAGGAGGCAGAGAACAGAAGGATGGCAGTTCAAAACCAGCCTGGGCAAATAGTTCATGAGACCCAATCTCAAGAAACCCTTCACAAAAAAAAAAAAGAACTGGTAGAGTGGCTCAAGGTGCAGGCCCTAAGTTCAAGCCCCAGTAAGGCAAAAAAGAAAACAAAGCCTCAAGACTGTCAGTCCCAATAATATTGCCATCGTGTTGCATTAATTTCTGTCACATTGTAGGTGCTCTGCAAATATGTAACAATGAGAAAATAAGGAACCTACCTAGTGTTAAGAGGGATAAATAAAATGAGATGTAACCATTCAGCATGGTGCAGGCAAATGATAGGTGCTCAATTTATATTAGCTAAATGTAAAGAATTGAACAAGGGAGTACAGGGTCTTGGAGAAGACTTGTTGGTGAGTTTTACTTTTACAGGAATTGTTTTCTTTGTCTAGAGGGATTGGTTCCCCTGACACTAGCAAGCTTCTAATCTAGCTGTTTCCAAATTTTACACACATTAAATCACCTAGGGCATCTTTAACAATTACTGGAGCCTGGCTTTCCCTCCCAGACATTCTGATTTAATTGGTATTAGGTTCAACCTGGACATTAAGATTTTTTTTTTTTTATGATGGGATCTCACTGTGTAGCCAAGGTGGGCCTTGAATTTGAGATCTTCCTGCGTCAGCCTCCCGAGTGCTGGAATTACACTTGTATACCACCATGACTGGCTGACACCGATAGTTTTGAAAGGTTTCTATGGTACGCAGAATAATGGTCTCCTACAGAATAATGGTCTCCCAATTCCCAGTCCCAGTCTATGAATGAATATATTAGGTTGCATGGCAAAGGGGAGAGGAAGAAGCAGATAAAATTAAAATTCCTAATAAATTGACCTTTAAATAGGGAGATTAGCCTAGATTATGCAAGCAGGCCCAATGTAATCATTAAGGGATTAATAGAAGAGGGGGGGTAGAGAATTAATGTCAAGATAATGTGACTTGAGAAAGACTTGATCAGCTATTGCTAGTTTTAAAGAAAGAGGGCTGAGTCAATGTAGCATCCTTTAGAAGCTGGAAAGGAATAGATGATTCTCCTCAGAGCCTTCAGAAAGGAAGGCAGCCCTGCTGATACCTTGACTTTAGCCCAGTGAGATTCATGTCAGACTTCTGACCTCTAAACGTAAGATAGTAGATGTGTTGTCTTAAGTCACTAAGTCTGTAGTAGTTAGTTACAGTAACAATAGGAAACTAATACAGCTTCCTGGCTTCCCACGTGATGCTGATGGGTCACAAAGTTTAGGAATCACTTTTAACCCCTGAGACTGTGCTTCACCAGGTTGGTCTTCCAGCCAGAAATAAATAACAATTTACTGTAAGAACAAGGCAGTCTCCTTACCTCGTACATTATTCCCGATAAGGGCCAGCTGTCCTGCCTCGTTGCTTCCCCAGCCAAATGATGTCCCAGAGAATGACAGGGCAAAGCTGTGAGCCCCTCCTGCAGCCACCTGAGCCAGAGGGATCCCCTCCAGAGACCTCACGCACTGTGGCTCGGCTTGGGAGGCAATCCCCTTCCCCAGGCCCAGCTGACCGTCACTGTTCTTTCCCCATGAAAACACTTGGCCACCTACCAAAATAAAGAGAAATTCAGAATTGCACACATACAGGAATAGCAAATCCTAGTAGAAACTGCTACCTTAATTCTAATTTTTTAGGTTGACTTCGGTATAATTGGCAAATGAAAATTAAAAATATTTGTGTTAAAGTAATATTTTAATATACACATACTCTGTGAAATGAATGCCATGACTAGTTGATTATGTATTTATAAATTACCTCATTTTTTGTGTGTAGTAAGAACACTTAAGATCTATTCTTAGGCCTGGGGTGTACCTCACTGGTAGAGCATGTGTTCAGCATATGTGAGGCCCTAGGTTCAATGCCCAGAACCAAAAAAACAAAACAAAAACACCCAAAAAAAAAAAAAAACTACTCTTAGGCAATTTCAAGTATACAATGCAGTATTATTAACTATAATCCCATGGCTGTTTTCAGAATTTATTCATTGCATAACTGAAAGTTTGTACCCTTTGACTAACATTTCCCCACTTCCCCCAACCCCAACCCCTGGCAACCACCATTCTACTCTCTGTTTCTATGAGGTCAACCTTAGACTCCATATGTAAATGAGATTTACATGTGCAATATTTGTCTTTGTGCCTGCCTTATTTTACTTCACATAAACCCATCTAAGTTCACCGATGATTTTTGACCTCTTAACTTTTCTTTCCATTAATCTAAGTACAGACAACCCTTTGGCTATTGTGGATGAAGCACTCAGCATAAAGCGCTGAAATAAAAATCACTACTAGGTTCTGAGGGAGTCACCATTCACATCATAAGAACAGGAATGGTCCTTTATGGTAAGATGTGAATTAGGCACCATTTACAGTATAAGAACAAAGAAAAAAAAAACAAGGAAATTTGAAAAGATATGCACAATATCACATCTGAGGAAAGTCAGAGAATTAAAATTTCTAAATATACTAAAATGAACCCCAATGCATTTGAAATCAAATTATCATTCATATTCAAAAAGTTAACATCCTAATGACACCCAGAGACCCAAAAAAGCATTTTTTTTTTACCTTCTGATAATGCCAGGGAGTGGAAGTCTCCACAAGAAACTTGTATTATTCTTATACCAGACAGAGCTTTTATCTTCCTATAATAAAAATGATTTTGAAAATGTTAATCTTTAGACAAGTTGCTAGATAAAAGTCTCCCAGGCAATACATTGGACCTGTGAAATTTTATTCTCTTATATTTCCATAGTAAACATTTCATTTCATATTTCCTTTCTTTCCTTTTTTTCTTTTTGATGTTGGGGATGGAACCCGGTGCCTTATATATGTTAGGAAAGTGCTCTACCACTGAGCTATCTCCCCACTCCTTAGCAGAGAGAGACAAGATCTCACAATGTAGCCCAGGTAGGCCTTGAACTTAAAATTCTCCTGTCTTCACAGTGCTGGGATTACAAGCATGCACCACTGTATTCCTAGCTACTCAGAAGGTGGAGATTGGGAGGATCATGGTTCAAGGCCAGCCCAGGCAAAAAGTTCACAAGATCCCATCTCAACCAATGGCTAGGCATGGTGGTGCATACCTGTTATCCCAGGTATGTGGAGAAACACAAATAGAAGGATTATAGTCTAGGCTGACCCAGGCATAAAGTAAGACCCTATATCAAAATAATAAATAACCAATGCAAAAATCACCTGTCTCTCAAGTCCAAGGCTTTGGGTTCAACCCCCAGTACGGAAGAAGAAGGAGAAGAAGAAGAAGGAGAAGGAGAAGAAGGAGAAGGAGAAGGAGAAGAAGGAGAAGGAGAAGAAGGAGGAGAAGGAGAAGAAGGAGGAAGAGGAGGAGGAGGACAAGAAAAGAGAAAAGAAAAGAATAGTTTCACTAGTAGCCTTCAAGACCAATAAAACCTCCCTGTCTCCTCATGATGATGGGGAGCACCGGGGTTCTCTCACTCATTCTGTATGTCTCATGTCTTTTCACCATGCAGAACAGACACAAGTTTGATGGGGTCTTCTTTCCCCACTGACTCGGCCACACTCACTCTGTTGGCTGTGGTTTCACTAGCTAGTGGAGAGAGACAGTGGGATCTCATTCATCCAATCATGAGCATCACTAATTAGGTGAAGAGGCACCTGGCTACCTTAAAAGAGTCCATGTCATTGCCATTGCTTAGTCTTGCTTCACTGAATTCCTTCATTTTGATATTCATTGCACTGGGCAGAAATCACATTGCATCAAACTGTTGTTTGTTTTTGTTTGCTTTGATATGGTTTGGTTTGGTTTCTTGAGACAGGGTCTGGCTATGTGGCCCAGGTTGACCTCAAACTCAAAATTCCCCTGCCTCAGCCTCCTGAGTGAAGAAATTACAAATGTGTACCATGATGCCTGGCTCAAAATGTTTTTAATGTAACATCAACATGTACAAAACTATGATATAGAATCCAAAAGTATATAATGCAAAGGTGATTTTTATTAGACTTTGACACGTTATATAATGTAATAATTTGTATTCTTATTGGCTTAAAAGAAAAAGAAATTCCTTTATGCACATATGGCATAGGCTTTAGAATTTATAGGTCACCAATAACTTCATCAGTGAGATAAAGAAATCATTAGGTTGAATCAAACAAAACTGCTACTTTTTGCCAAAAGAGATAGCTATCAGCAATTTCATTCTGTTAAACCCAACAGAATTCAAAGAGATGAAATAGTTATCAAGTTACAGAACCTTGACTCAAACCTTGCCCTTTTCCTTCTGTTAAGTTTGGTTTAAAGTTGCCTCCATACATACTCTGAGTTAGTGTTAAAGGTTTTGCTGTGCATAATGAACTGTAACAGTTCATAACAGATTGTATCAGACTCATCTAACGAGTAGCCTAGTCTCAGGCACAAGTAACTAGCTGTTCAAACTATGTTCAAATAAGAAAAAGTCAAGCTGTAACCAATCAGGCTGTCTTTACCTCACTTCTGGTCACCTTCAATATAACTAGCCCATGCAGTGAGGCAGAGTATTCTGAACCATTCTGGGTCCAGACTCTCACCTAATTCTAGAATCACACACCAAAAAAGCTAAGAGCTGCAAAACTAGATTTGTGGTAATTCTCTTTTAACAGTTCCAAGTTCATCGCTCATTCCTTCAAGCCACATCAGTCTCTCATACAATTTTATTACCAAAATAGGTAATGAGATAACTTTCTTGAATTAAAATATATGCATTTGAAAATTCTTTAAGAGTGTGTATTCAGGAACACACAATTTAAAGCTAACTTATTGTCATGTTATTTATCCTGGGAAGCTGTTTATGAAGAAAATATGATCCTTCCCCATTTTACTAAGTAGAATAATAGAAAGCCGTGACTTATGTCAAACCCAAAGGTTGTGTAGGGTGGAAAACTTTTCCTTTTCCAACTTGGGTCTAATGTTTGGGGCTTGCAAATTAACTGAAAATATATATCAGGAGAAAGAAAGTTTATCTACATGTGTGTTTACTATTGCAGAATAGCCCAAAGTAAAGGTTTATATGCTTGAGGGCTTTAGTGGGAGAGTATGGATGGCTCCATTGGCCTTTCTGATGGCAGTGGTAATGGAAAGCCTACCTACATAGCACCTGAACTTGCAGGACACAATCACAGCGGATGGTTAATGGCAGCTATAATTTTGGGAGGTTCTACTTGCTTTATTCAGATAAAGGACATCCTTTTTATCTGAATCTTCTACAGCTCAACTGTTTTTACTTTAAAGTAATCTTTATACTCACTCTGGGTGTCCAAGTGGGTCCCCACAGTTACATTCTGATAGATAAGATTAAGATGAAAGGGTCACATTTCATTTCACTCTACCCTTTTTCCTTCCTGGGACTCTGTAAATAATTGGTGCGTACATTTTTACTGCCTTCTTCTCTCCCTACACTGTGATCCTCAAGGTTAGGGACTGTGTTCCTCATAGTCATCTTTGTCCTGACATCTTGGATGGTGTCTAGTACATGGTACTCAGAAATATTGAACAGGGCTAGTGGAGTGACTCAAGTGGTAGAGCGCCTGCCTAGCAAGCCTGAGGTCCTGAGTTCAAACCCAAGTACTAGAAAAAAAATAGAACAAACAAGGAGTCAATTGAAATACTTACTTAGGTGTAAAATTTCTTTCTTTAAATTCTCCAATTCCAAGTTGCCCCTCAGAACCAGCTCCCCAAGCGAAGACCCTTCCTTTGTGGCAGACAGCCAGGGAGTGCTCCTTCCCACAGCTCACAAGGTCAACATGTAATGTTTCCAATGTCTGAATTTGTTCTTCGGGAACAAAAACAAAAAACAAAACTCCCAAAGATTATCAGTTGAACAACATGTTTAAGATAGTACTTTTCTTCAAAAAGAAGGGTCACCCAAATTCCTTGTTTCCTCCAACGATCTTTTTAATTAAAGTCTAAATTCCTTGCTAAGCATCAGAGGGAAGATCAATGTGTGTCATGCTATTTTTATGGGAAATATGTTAAAATAATTAATTGGGACACCATTTGGCTGAAATGGCTCCAGCAACTTGGGTTCCTAATAATCCAACAAACCCAGCTCAGAGTGACAGTCATAGAATATGAAAATGAAACTTAAGCTGAACCAGTCAGAAATGATGAGTCAACCTCTACCTAGAGACTTCACCAATTAAAAACAGCCAAGTAAACTCTAACTAGGAACTTTCCACTTTGATCAATCTAATATTTTCTTTGTCCTGCTTCTTCAAAAACCTTAAACATTTCTTCCTGGAATTCCCTAACAGCTCCTTAGTCAAGCCCAACCATTTGAGGTCTAGCACTGCCTTATTCATGGATTACTGAATGCTCAAAAAAATCTCCTGAAAATTTTAAGATACTCAGGCTGCTAAAAGGTTGGGCATCATGGGACAGGGGCCTTTTGGGCCTACGGCACTTGACCAGATGTTTTTTTCTATGATGGTGATAGCAAGCCTAGCAAAATAAAGAAATTTGAAAGAAGGCTCACTCTACTATTCTACTTTCCCAATCCTGAACGGTGACAGCAGTCAGGCCCTAGCCCAGGCAAGGAGCCTATAGCTTGGGTATGAGAGATGGATACTAGATCCTCTTAGAATGAAGAATGAAGTAAAGCCCTCCTATGAAGCCCTAAATATGCCCACAAATGAAAACCTGATCACATTTCCCTACAAGTCAGTCTAAACTGTTTCCCCAAAGTGTCAGCCTAAATTATTACAGGTTTGGAGTTGAAAAGACCATTCATTACCAATAAAGTTTTTGGAACTAAAATTTTTCAGTTTTTTTCTTTGTGATAGTGAGGCAGGATCCATCAGGGAAAAATGAGGCAGGGGAACAACACCCAGGGACCCAGAGATAAGCACTGTATTAATGAATGGCTTGATTAAAAACACACAGGCACTATTGTCTTTGCTTAAAGTCTTACATGCCCTCAACAAGCTGCAACATTTTCTAAATGTACTTGTCTTTGTGTACTGGCTATTTCACTTAATGAAATAATTAAGTGAATGAATGATTGCCACTTCCATCCATGTTGTCTCAATTATTCCCTCATATAGTTCCTAGTCATTTTCCCAAAATTTATCATCCTTTGAATTTTCATCCCCTCTTTTCCTTGTCAAATATGGTCCTGAGTTTAAGCATCTCTTTTGGTTTCATTTCTTTTCTGTAATTCCTTTGCACACGAATTATCCTCCACGTACAAGATTAATAAAATTGAATGCTTTTCTCTCTCAGTCTGTTTTTGTCAGTTAAGTTTGCAGGATCCAGGCACTGAATCTAAGCAACAGGAAAGTTATTCGTTCTCCACACACCTCTTTAAATTAATTATTCTAAGACAGAAATCAGAAATAAGGTCAAATATTTACTCCCAAGATGTCAATCAGTATAATTCGTAAAAGTTCCTAATAGAAAAGGTATGATTTTCCACAAAATTAAGTAGTCATTGCACCTGGACTGTTATGCAGCTATTCAAAACATCTTTTCAAAAAATACATAATCCAGAGTAGTATGCTTATGACACTATTATGTTCAGTAAAAACGCAATTACAGAGTTGTATATATACTCCATATACAAATCTGTATATTGACAGGAGTCTCATGAAGATTAAATATATACATAGAAAAAAGACAAGTAGGGAACACATCACATTGTGAGGGACCGTCTTTGGGTTGGATTACAGGTGACTTCTTTCCCATGTTTCTACAATAATCAGTAATGGTAAAATGCTGCTCTATGTTTTTACATTTTCAGACAAGAAGCGGCACAGGGTATCTCTGGGCTAGTGACAGGTGTGCGACCCCACGGCCCATTTGGAAGGCAGCGGAGTCCTGTGATTGGTCCAGAGTTGTTCAGCGCACTCTGGTGAGTTTCCGCTCAGTTTCGCGGCAGCAGAAGTGGAAACCGAAACCAACCCGAGGCGCGCGGGAAAATGAAACTGATGGCGCGGTGCGGCTTCCCGCTCTCCTGTGGTCCAGGGGATCCGGGCCCCCGCGTCCCCCGCGCCCCCCGCGCTCCCCGCATCCCCCGGGCTCACCTGGCTGTTCCCCGCTGCGCACGCCCCTCCGGCCCAGCTGGCCCCAGCTGTTGTCCCCGCACGAGAGGACAGTACTGTCGCTCAACAGCAGAAGCGAGTGGCGCTCTCCGCTGGCCGCCTGCCGCAGCTCGGCGCCCGCCGTCCAGCGGCTCTGCGGCTCCCGGGAGCCCGCACGCCAGCACCAGTGCATTACGCGTCTGCCGCCCGAAGTCTGTCCTCGCCGCCCTGTGGTCCCGAAGACGGCTCGGCGAGCGCTGTGCCCTGCCATCATGTCCCGGACACGCACGAGCTGTGTGGTCCAGCGCCCTCTGCACTCTCCCTGCTTCCAACTCGCCTCGCCCAGTAGCAGCCCTGCCCCTACATCATCTTGAAACTGGCTGTCTGTGTCCCAACAGCTAAAAGCATTTACACCCTTAACCAAGCCACCTGTGAGCCGGGCCACCCTGGGCGAATTAGCTGTCCATTCTGTGCCTCAGCTACCACATGTATGAAATAGGGTCAGTAATATAGCGAATCCTAAACGATAATATATAAAGTGTTAGAATGACGCCTTGGAGTGCTCTATAAAATCATCTTTTGCAGACGTAGTTTTGGCACTGGAAATACAATAGGGAGAGACAATGTGTACATTTTCCTGAGAGAATGAGAACACGAGCCGATAAATATGTAATATAATATGAAGTGGCAAGTTAAAAATAAAGCAGCAGATAGAAAATGAAGGCAGAAGGAAGTAGTATTTTTGAGAAGGTACCAGGCAAAACCTCTGGTGAAGACAGCTGAGGAGATGTGAGAAAGAGATAAGGAGTCATGATCATATCTAAAGGATCTGTTTTAAAAGGACTCATTCTGGCTGCTTTGTAGAAAATCATAGGACAAAAATGAAAGCAGAAAGCTAGTTAGCAGAGACTGGCATAGAAGTCAAGATGAGCACTATGCTTGGACTTAGGTGATAGTTTAGGGTAGGAGAGAGGGGAGAGCAGAGGGGAGATTATCAGATTGAATGGGGTATTATAAAAGTAGAAATTCAGTTTGAGTGATGGATTGCACGTGGGAGGAAAGAAGGACAGGCCTTAGGGATTACTCCAAGGTTGGCCTAAGCAACTAGGTGAACAGTCCTGTGGGAGGTACAGTTTGGGTGCTGTGAATCAGGAACACAGATGGGCAATGGCAACAGTGAGATGCTTGCTATATATGGAGGCAATAAGATAAATCACTCTGAAGTTGTGGGGAGATGCTGGGGTGAAGTCAGAAAATTGAGGTCCAGCAGCTGAGATAATGCTTAAAGCCAGATGGCCCAATGAGATTCCACAGGGGTTGTGTGGCTACAGTGTAACAGAGTCTAGAGGACTGACCACAAAAGGAAAATCATGAGTGATGAACATCAAGCAAGTAAAGATAAGCAAAGGATCAATTTGATCAAGAACGGTAAGGATTACATGTTGATGGTTAGGTTTGGCAAGGTGGAAGACATTGGTGACTTTGACCATGTTAGCCATTATCAGCACTTTTGTTTTAAATTCTATTATCATAGAATCTATTCATACAGTCTCAGCTCACCTCTCTTTATGACTATAAGTTTTCTAAAAATAAGAGCAAATGTTACTTGTTTTCCAACTCAAGACTATTTGGCATTCGGTAGATGCCAAGAAAAAAACAATTGATGACTATGAGTGAATGAATAGAATTCATATTTCCAGTTCCATTTTGCTGTATATCATATACAACCTTTTTCTGAATAGTAATTTCTAAATGTTTATTACTTCCCCATAGATAAACTTATTTTAGAATTTGGTATTATCAGTATAAGACTGAGTGATCATATTATTTCTTTAAACAAATCTATTAGAGAACTAAAATATAAATGCAGTATACTCATACATCCCCAGCACCTAGCACATCACATGTCAAATTTAAAAATTCAATAAATGTTAGTGGGAGAAGTGAATAAAGGGTACATTAAAAAAAACTAAACATGCTTTGATTGTTTGAGAAATATATTTCTCAATTAATCTGTGTTTATGAACTTGGAAATAGTATCTCCCATTTATTGAATACTTATTCTGTATTGATTGTTCTGCTTAAAATTTCTAATTTATTCTTCCATCAGCTTCTCTAAGTTAAGATTCTTTTGGTTGCTGGTGACAGAAAATACAACCCAAGCTCACTTAATCCTTCCTTTCTTTCTTCCTTCCTTTTCTTCTTTCCTTCTTTCTCCCCTAAGAGTGACTTATAAAGACAGTAGAAGGAGGTGAGAAAGAAAATAAAATTTCCTGGGGACAGGGTTTTTTTTTTTTTTTGTCTTTTTTTTTTTTTTTTGGTGCTGGGATCGAACCCACTGTACCACCGAGCTACATCCCAGCCCATAAAATTTCTTAACTGCCTACCAAATGGCAGTTTCTCTCACAATACACTTCTGCTTTTAAGCAAGCACCCTGTATGGTACATATTGTGTACCACCTTATACATATGAATAGTTTGGACCTCAGAAAACCCAAGCAATTTATTTAAGATAAATAGTAAGATATGTGGGGGATCCTGGATTCAAACCCTGTTTCCAGTAAATAGCTCTGAGTCAATGTGAGGTGAAGAAGATGCTAGAAAAGGGGCGAGACAGAGCATGAGCTCATGAAAGGCCATCAGAAGTGGATGGGATTAGAGAATAAACAAACCAATTAGGAAGGCAGAAAAGCCATCTTAGGCAAATCTTTGAAACTCAGCTACAAAAACATCCCAAAAGAGACTCTGCCACTTTTCATGGCTTTTGAACAAGTCTAGGTCAGACAGATTTGAGCAACCCAATTCTTCCTGGGGTACTGGAACAGGCGTTAAGCAGTGTTAGTGCACTGTTAAATACTATAAAACACAGTTGATCTTAATATTAGCTTTTCTTAAGCGCCCCATTTAAAGTTTATTTTTCCTCTAAATATGCTGAGAAGCTGGGGGTTGGGGCTTTTGACTCCCTAATTCACAGCTCTTAGACCCTTCCTTGGGGCCCTGTCTGCCTTGAGTGAAGAACTGGCAGCCAGGCAGCCATTAGACTGTCCTCATGCCCCTACCAGTTGTTTTGAGCACTCCACAGACACCTTGGGGAAGCTATATAACAACCATAATTTTTTGCCAAAGCACAACTCCAGCTCATGAAGATGCTGCCCCAGCAAATAGTTTGTACCAGGCTTCTTGCTATCACAAACCTTGGTGAACTCTAGAAGACCTGTAGCCATTTCTAGCAATATGAAAGGTCTGTCATGATTGGTAAAAACACAGTCCTTCATTTGCAGGAAGGGACTGCTATGATTGGTTCAGATGCCCTGCAAGGGCCCCTTTCTGGCTATATAAGCAGGCTGTTCAGCTACCTTTGTGAGATAGCCAGGAGACACAATCCAGAGTTGTCCCCTGGTTTTGCAATATTAGGCCCAATCTTTATTGAGAGGTCTTTCTTCTCTAACTTTGATTTTTATCATTAGTAGAGTGGCTGAACTAGTAATACAAAGAGAAGTGTTGGTAGAGGCAGCAGCAGTTAGTGGAGCCAGCACTGGGTGGCCATGATCACAGAGCTGAGCTATAAGTGAGGTACTCCTGTCACCGCAGGGCAATAGCAGCAGTGGTAGCACAGACACTGGCCAGGATAAAAGCAATGGGGAACAGAGGTGGCAAAGACAATAAGGAATGGTGGAAGTAGAGAGAAAGCTTGAGATTGAAGAGAGTCAGAAGTGTGTAAAAAGCCAGAAAGATGAGAAACTATGGGCTCTGGTTGCTGGAAAACTGTAACCTTTGTAGAGCTGAGAATCATGGCACCCACTGCCTTGCACAAGACTGCAACGTAAGAAAGTACCACAGCTGCCACAGCGGCTGTCTGCTGCTGCTGCTTCCTGAGGATTACAAAACCTGCCAAGGGCCTGCAGCAACCGGAAGAGCTGCTCCTACCCAAAGACCCCAAGCAGCTGACTGGTAACACAGGGACTGTCAGCCCAAGACATGGCACCCTAATATGCTAATTATTTTCAATAAAAGGAATCTAGCAGTAAATTATGACATAGGCTACCCTGGTTATGGCCTTGTGTGCTTTCAGTATGACCCCAAGGAGGAAAACAGTTAACTGTGATTTCTATCATGAGTTTTCATTAACTAAATGCAACCTTGCAGAAAGGTCCCCATGGCAGCAAAGACAGTAGTTATGGATCCCAGAAAGAAAAGCTGAGTCACAGGGCATCACAGAATAGATAGAAAGGTGGGGATGCTGTGTGGAAAACTCCATATCCTCCCTCACCACAGCTCTTCCCTCCACCCCAACACCCCAAGTCTCCATGCATCATTTCCCCACCACATAACACAGGCATTGAGTGAGGGAGTGGCCATTGTGCTAGAAATTCTGCTGGGCACGTGCAGCACAATTTTTTCCTAAGAAAAAGCTTGCATGTTCCGTGTTCTTTAGTGTGAGGCCTATAGGAACATAGAAAGATTCATGAGCTAGTTGATTGTCAAGAACATATGAAGTTATTTATTTCAGCTAATCAGATCTTGCTAATCAGCAAGATCTGTAATAAACCTTTTAAGAGACTTGATCAAGAGACTTGCCAACAAAATAATACATAATGAAGATAAACCTTACAAATGCAAGCTTTGTAGAAAGGGATTTATCTACAGAAATGTCCCACAAGACCCAGGCTGGACAGAGACTTTCCAATGTGATGATGTAAAGCTTGCTTCCAGACCCCATTTTCTTTGCAGAGACACCTGATAACACACAACAGCAAGAGGACTTTCAAGGGTCATCACTATAACACTATCTTTAAAAAGAAGGACACATTAAATGTTCATGTCCTGGAGGTCCATGAAAGACACAAGAAATACAGATGTGAGTTAGGTAACAAGACATTTCTTATGCTGTCACTGCCTAGAAGTCTTAAGAAAACATACAGGAGAAAAGGAGAAAGTCTGCCCATATTGTGGCCAGAAACTTGCCAATAATGAATTCATATCTGGATCCACACAGGTAAGCATCCCTATTGATGTCCTTACTGAAAAAGGGTTCAGTAAAAATGACATCTGAAAATGCACCTTCATACTCACACCAGGATGAAGCCATTCAGGGCTCAGAGCACAGCAAGGCCATCAGTCAGAATCGGGGCCTTGGTGAGCATAAGTGCATGCACACTGCAGAAGAGCCTTCTCACTGTGATGTCTGTGACT